GAGGGCAGGCAGTCCCGCTGCCACCTTAAGTTTGGACTGGCCGCCTCCAGAACTGGGAGAGAATTAGTGTCTGCTGTTTTGAGTCACCCTATTGGTGGAAGTTTGCTTTGGCAGCCCTGGGAAGCTCATACCCAGCCCTGGAGCCCGGGGGAGCCCCACGCTTCCAGCCACCGTCTAGACCGTGTCTGGCTGGGGCACACAGAGCCCGCCCCTCACCACCTCACCACAGCCCCTGGGCCTCCCCTGCAGGTTTCAGAGACAGGCTCAGCTCAGCAGAGAGTGGAGAAGGTGGTAAGGTATTTATCACAGCAGCCTCCTTGAGCTCTGAGATGTGGCTAGCCCACAGGACGGGGGTGGGGGATGAGGAGGGGGTGACCCTCCTGCCATCTGATCCCTTCTTCCCACCCAGAATAGTACCATCTATTCTTACATTAGGACTGAACAGTGTCCCCTCGAAATTCATGCCCACCCACAACCTGTGAAGATGACCTTATTTGGAAACGGGGTGGGGCCGTCATCCACAGTGACAGATGTCTTTATAAAGTGTGTGCAAGTGGACTCTGAGACAGACACACAAGGAAGAAGCTCGCGTGATGAGGGAGGCAGAGATTGGAGCATTGTACCTACAAGCCAGGAAGCACCGAGATTTGCCAGAGGACCCAAAGCTAGGAAGAGGCAAGGAGGGGTTTCTTCTAGAGCCTCTGGGGAGAGAATGCGCCTACCAACACTTTGATTTCAGACCTCTGGCCCCAGAGCTGTGAAGGAACAAACCCCTGCTGTTTCAAGCCACCCCCATTTGGGGTCATTTGTTAGGACAGCCCCTGAAAACATCAACACAACCCCATCAAAGAGACCAGGCTGGGGTCCATGTTCTACCCGCAGTGGGCTGTGGGACCTGGGGCAGGTCAACGTCTCCTCTCAGAACCTGTCTCCTCTTCCACTAAGGAGGCACATGTTCCCACTCTGAAGCCTGGATTTGCAGCATGATTGAGATTGATTATGTTGGAGGGCCCAGCTCTCAAAACCCTTCCTGTTTATCATCCAAGGAGTTAACAGTGTCCTTTGTTCATTCCACAAATATGTCTTCCTCCTGTGCGCCAGGCACTGCTCTAGGCTGAGTGACGAGGGGGCTGGCGTCCAAGATCCGGGTGTCGGCAGGTTTGGTTCCTTCTGACGGGGTGAGGAAGACCACTCTGGGCCTCTCTCTTGGCGTCTGGTGTCCCACAGGCAATCGCTGGAGTTCCCTGGCTTGTAGAAGCATCGCCAACGCTCTCCGCCTTTACCTCCATGGCATTCTCCCTGTGCGCGTGAGGCTGTGTCTCCAAATTTCCCCCCTGGATAAGGACACCACTCATATGGACTAGGGGCTCACCCTACATTAATTTTTTTTGCCTGTAGCAACCCAGCTTTAACACCCACAGTTCATAGGCCATCAGGTAGTAGCTTGGGGACGTCTTGTGGGTCACCAGCAGGTGGAGGGAATGGCATTTTGGTGGGGTCTGCCCGCTCTCCAGCCCTCAGCTGGATCTTGGTGATCTGAGTGTGGTGGGCACACCAAGGCCTGGTCTGCCCTGTGCTGCGGGGTCAGACCTGTGCTCCCCACTGCCCGGCCCCCACCATGCCCAGCTCCCCTCACCAGGCCTCCAGGACGCTTCTCTGTCCTTGGAGAGCAAGGGGGCTGAAGGCCAGTGTTAGAAATGCAGATTCCCAGAGCAGCAGGGCTTCCGTGCCATCCGCATGAACGCATCTCTCTGCTCCGAGGACAAGAGTGTCCCTTATTGACAGAGGGAGTCCCTGACGCATTGGCAGGCTGTCCCCCACCGTCATGGCTCTCTGGGACCCTGGTCCCTGCTTTTCTCTTCTCTTCTCTCCTCACCGCTTCTTTTTCTTTTGAAGACAGGGTCTTGCTCTGTCCCCCAGGCTGGAATGCAGTGGCACAGCTCACTGCAGCCTCCAACTTCAGGGCTCAAGTGATCCTCCCTCCTCAGACTCCCTAGTAGCTAGATGGGTACCACCACATCCGGCTAATTTTAAAAAAATGTTTTGTACAGACAGGATCTCACTATGTTGGCTAGGCTGGTCTCAAATTCCTGGGCTGAAGGGATCCTCCCAAAGTACCTGGATTATAGGTGTGGGTGTGAGCCACCGCACCCAGCCACGTCTGAGCTTTTGAACACCTCTCTCAGCATTTTGCTGCTGCCTGCTCAGTGCCACCCCTCCCCCCAGGGCCATGGCGGATCGATGGCCAGGCGGCCACCAGGTCTAGAGGACGTTGATTGTGCAAGATCTGCTTTTCAGACTGTGAGGCTCGCAGGCGGCACGGGCCTCTTGATCTTCCCAAGAACAGGATGGGTACAGAGGCTGGGCTTGGGGTGTCTTCACCCACCTCCACACCATCCCTGCTCTGTCTCAAGCCCCTGTCCCTCGGAACGTTTGCAAGGTGGGGGCCAGGGCCTGGAAGAGGGGATTTTGGGGGGAGAAGGGAGAGTTGCTGGGGCTGGGATGAGGGACAGTGGGGCAGGGCTATGGTTTTCCGTCTTAGGGTCAGGGTTGGGCTCACGGGCAGGGGCCAGGGCTCTGGGGAGTGCTACGGAACAGGAGAAGGTGTGGGAAGGGGCCCTCAACCCAGAATCCTAACCAGCCCCACAGTGCGCCCTCCTGCCCTGGCCCTGCCTGGAGGTGGTGCTGTACTGAGCTCATGCCCAGCCCCATGGGCACGGGCCTTCACACCTCAGGACACCCGGGTGCCCCCCATGCGCATGTCAGGGAGGCCCCCGCCTACTGCTGCAGGCCTCCTTAGGGAGCACACACCAGAGAGCATGGAGCACATACATGCTTGAGGCATGGGTGAGGGGCCACATGGGTAGGCACCACACATGTGCAACCATCATCACCTGGACTTCAGTGCACACGCAGACCTGGCCCTGACACACCGGTGTGCCACTGGGAGAGGAGGAGAGAACCCCACCGGGCCACCCCCACAGTGCTGGGCCTTCACACACACTTCCTGTTCATCAAGAAGGGGTGAACTTTTTTTCAAAGAAGTGCATCTCCGAAGTCAGGGATTCTGCCCGGGTTCCTGCAGCTAAACGGGGGCCAGGTTTGGTCAGGGAAAAGCCTGGGCGCAGGGCCCTGTCCCATCCCAGCCAGACCCTACACATCCCACACTTCACACCCACTGCACACTGCACACACGCCTCACAGTAAACACACGCCACACATGCCTCACACTGCACACACACACGCCTCACTGCACACACCTCACACTCCACGCGCACCTCACACGCCACGCGCACCTCACACTGCACGCGCACCTCACACTGCACGCGCACCTCACACTCCGCACACACCTCACACTCCGCACACACCTCACACCCTGCACACACCTCACACCCTGCACACACCTCACACTCCATGCACACCTCACACTTCATGGACACCTCACACTAAACACATATGCCTCATACTCCACACACATCTCACATTACACACATACCTCACACTAAACATACGTCTGATACTCCACACACACACCTTTCACACTGTGAGCACGCACACACACATACACACACTTGTATACAACTCTCATGCTCCACACACAACTCATACCATACATAGCTCATAGACACACACACCTTACACTGTGCACACTGCCAGCACCCACACTGCATACACATACACAGTCCACACACCCCCACCCCACATCATATGCCCCTCACCCAAATCTTTTATGTTTTTTTTTTTTTTTTTTTGAGGTGGAGTCTCACTGTGTCACCCAGGCTGGAGTGCAGTGGCATGATCTTGGCTCATTGCAACCACTGCCTCCCAGGTTCCAGTGATTCTCCTGCCTCAGCCTCCCACATAGCTGGGATTACGCGCACCACCAGGCCTGGCTAATTTTTTGTATTTTTAGTAGAAATGGGATTTTTCCATGTTGGTCAGGATGGCCTCGAACTCCTGACCTCAGGTGATCTGCCTGCCTTGGCCTCCCAGACTGCTGGGATTACAGGCGTGAGCCACCATGCCTGGCCAAAAATAAATTGTATTTATCCCATGATCGCCAAAGTGTTATTTCAGCCTGCAATCAATATAAAAATTGTTAGAGAGTTGGTTGACATCCTGTGTGCACCTGGCCTTGGAAACCTGGTATGCGCCTCTCCCCCATGCAGCTTTTCTCAGTTCAGACTGGCTCAAGAGCCACGGGTGACCAGCAGCTGCCATTATGGACAGACAGCACAGCGCTACGGAACCAGGTAGGAATTCACACTGGGCGCGGTAGCCTCCCGCCTGTAATCCCAGCACTTTGGGAGACCGATATGGGCAGATCACCTGAGGTCAGGAGTTCGAGACCAGCCAACATGGTGAACCCCGTCTCTTCTAAAAATATACAAATTAGCTAGGTGTGGGGGTGCGTGACTGTAATCCCAGCTACTCGAGAGGCTGAGGCAGGAGAATTGCTTGAATCTGGGAAACGGAGGTTGCAGTGAGCTGAGATCGTGCCTCTGTACTCCAGCCTGGGTGACAGAGTGAGTCTCCATCTCAAAAAGAAAAAAAAAAACACTAAAGAGCCAGGTAGAAATTCAAATAATTCCCAGCTAAACAGAAAATAGCATCCAGCCCCACCCCTGCCTCCCCTTTCTCCTCCTCAATCCCCAGAGTGCATGGGCCCAGCCTCCTTTTCTCTCTCCGGCCAGTAGCTCTTCTAGTCTCGCCCATCCAGGTAAGCAGACCCGTGTACCAGGTAAGCAGACCCGTGTACTGCGCTAACCTGTACCGGCCTCTGCATGGTCCTCGGCCACCCCTACCTCATGTTCTTGGGGTCCAGGGGCTGTAACTAGGCAGGCATGTCACCAGGCAACGGGCGTCAGGGGAGAGCTCAGATCTCCGGCACCTGCCTGCCAGCCTCTGGGGTGCCCATGGCGGGGAGGGGGCGGGGTAAGAACTGCCTTCTCCCGCCTCCTGCCTGTTTACCTGTACTCAGCCACAGTTGCCATCCCAGACCCAGCAGGAGGAGCCCCATGGAGACTGGGGCCACAGGCCACAGGGGACAAGGGCCAGACACCCTGGCCATGGCTCTGGGCCATTGACCCAGCCCAGGCAGGCCCGGTGGGGGCGGGGAGGCCTCGGCCTGGATAAACAGAGGCTCCTGCGGCCTGCATGCAGGCTCGGCACCTATCTGCCACTCCCAAAGGTAAGTAGGGGCCTCCAGGAGAGGGGACCGGGACCTATGAATGACCTGGGGAGAGTGTCCACCCTAAGAGCGGGGCCTGGTTCCCTGGGGCCTGAGCCACCTACCCTGCTCTGAGGCCAGGCCTGCAGGGCCTCATCAGCCAGAGAGTGATCCGTGAGCAGAAGGTGAGGGGCCCACAGAGCTGGGGAGGGGAGGGACCATGCAGAGTGACACCGGGTGTGGGGACAGGCACAGCGTCAGTGCTGGGCGGATGGTGGCCTGGGCTTCAGGTGGCAGAGACAGGAGGAAGGGAGAAGCCACCCTACCCCTGCCTCGCAGGACTGGACGTGCTGCCCCCTCCATACCCAGTACCCCACCTGGGCCTTCTGGTGTAGCAGGCAGGCCCAGAGCCCCACACTGTACCTGTGTACTGACTTAAGCCCGGGACCCTGGGCTCACAGGCTCAGAGCTGGTGTGTGTGTGTGTGTGTGTGTGTGTGTGTGTGTATGTGTATGTGTGGTGTAGGAAGGGTGTGCATCTATGAATTTTTTTGCTGTTGTTTGTTTGAGATGGAGTCTCACTCTGTTGCCCAGGCTGGAGTGCAGTGGTGCAATCTTGACTCACTGCAACCTCCGCCTCCTGGGTTCAAGTGATCCTCCTGCCTCAGCCTCCTGAGTAGCTGGGATTATAGGTGCACACCACCACACCTGGCTAATTTTTATATTTTTAGTAGAGACAGGGTTTCACCATGTTGGTCAGGCTGGTCTCGAACTCCTGGCCTCATGATCTGCCCACCTCAGCCTCCTCCCAAAGTTGTGGAATTACAGGTGTGAGCCACTGCGTATGGCCACAGTGAGTTTTTGTGTTATGAATAGCTGTGCGTCTGTCCCTCCACGTGTCTCCATCCATGTACATCTGTGGGGCTGTGGGTGTGTTTATATGTGTGGAAGGGACCCCTACCCAGTCTCCCGCACTCAGGACTCTGGGCCCCAATGGCTTCACTGAAAGATGCCTCTATGGGCCTAGCCCAGAGTCCCGCTCTGCTCTGCTCTGCCCTGGCTGAGGGACCTCGGGTAAGTCATGTTACCTCTCTCTACCTCAGTTTCCCCAGCCGTTAAATAGAGTCAGCAAAGCCCGCATCCCAGGCTGCTGGAGGCTGCAGCAGAGTTTGCAGCGCTGCCTAGCACAGGGCTGGCATGTGTGGAGTTCACACGCGGTGGTTGAATCCAGATCTGCACTGCTGGAGAAGTCACGGCCCTGCCCCAGGGAGGGAGACTCACCTGCAGCAGGGAGACCCGAGACCCTCCAGTGGCCAGAAGGGCAGGAGGAAGTGAGGAGCAGGTGCCAGGGTGGGGTCCAGGTGCTCGGAGCTGGGAACAGCTTCAGGGCCCTGCGGCTATTGGGGCACTGTCCCCCTTTCCAGGAGCTCAATGTGAGGGGCAGAGAGAGCACCCGCAAGGTGAAATACACATGGCGAGGGTCAGCCGTCCCTTCTAGGGCACTCTGGGAGAGCTGCCAAGAGGTGAGGTCCGAGCTGAGGTGACGGGGGCTGTGTAAGAGCTGGCCAGGTCGGGAGCTGGGAGCCCAGGCAGGAGGACTGTGGGGTGCCTGGCTGTGAATAAGCACTGACAGGCTCAAGGTCCAGGAGGGCTCTTGGTGCTGACCAGCAACCTGCTGTCGATCTGTAAATGTTCGCTACCAACTTGCCGTTAAAATTCCTTACCAAAGAAGTCCGGTGTCCCTGGGTGCCACGGGGAAAAGAGAGGGTGGGGATTCGAGGAGATGGATGTGAGGGGCATTTAGAGGGAGGCAAAGTCCGCACACCCAGGACAAGAGGCAGCTTTGGAATGGGGACTCAAACCTGCTGTGTGGCCTCAAGCAGGAGTCTCAGTGCCCTGTTAGTTACTGTTCTGTTTCCTGCCTGTTTCTCACCAGGGATGCTGTGAATATTTGGGAAAGTGGGCGGGGCCGTCCCACCCCTTGCAGGACATTTACCATTCTCTGGCCTCGGCCCCATTAAAGCCAGCAGGGCCCACCCCATATGCAGGAATATCTTAGCTTCGCGTGTGGAGGGGAGTGCCATGCCCAGTGAAGGTCCCCTGGAGTCCCTCCCTCCCTTGTATCTGATGGGGGCTGCTCACCAGAGTCGCTGTGGCTGGACACCAAAGACCCTTAGCTGGGAACAATGCCAAGGGGAGCTGCAGGGAGCGGGGAAGCCAGGAGAAGGGCTAGGGTCCTTCAAATCCATCTGCAGGACTTTGAGCCCTGGACTGAGTTATGGATAGAACATTCTGGGTCTCGGTTTCCTCGTCTGTCCAAGTACTAAGGAGCCCTACTTTTGGAAACCCACTGTGTAAAAACCCCAAGACACAGCCCAAAGGAAGCCCCTGCCTACATCTAGGGTACAGTTTTTTAATGTTTTTTGTTTGTTTGTTTGTTTGTTTGTTTTGTTTTGTTTTGTTTTGTTTTTGAGACAGAGTCTTGTTCCATCATCCAGGCTGGAAGTACAATGGCGGGATCTTGGCTCACTGCAACCTCCGCCTCCCAGGTTCAAGTGATTCTCCTGCCTCAGCCTCCCAAGTAGCTGGGATTATAGGTGCCTGCCACCATGCCCAGCTAATTTTTGTATTTTTCATAGAGACAGGGTTTTACCATATTGGCCAGGCTGATCTGGAACTCCTGACCTCAGGTGATCTATCCACCTCAGCCTCCCAAAGTGCTGGGATTACAGGCGTGAGCCACCGCACCCAGCCCTGGGGTGCATTTTACAGCAACACAGTATTTATGGATATAGTAAGAGGAGACGATCTTCCCAATAGTCTGGAACGCTTGCTCTCCTGGTGGCTGGGTCAAGGGCCTTCTCTGTACTGTGGGGAAACCTGCCTGAAAGGCCAAACACATAGGGATGTTTGCTTGAAAGGGTCTCACAATAGAGCTGCAACCCTTTGCCGGGCGCGGTGGCTCAAGCCTGTAATCCCAGCACTTTGGGAGGCCGAGGCGGGTGGATCACGAGGTTGAGAGATCGAGACCATCCTGGTCAACATGGTGAAACCCCGTCTCTACTAAAAATACAAAAAACTAGCTGGGCGTGGTGGCGCGTGCCTGTAATCCCAGCTACTCAGGAGGCTGAGGCAGGAGAATTGCCTGAACCCAGGAAGCGGAGGTTGCAGTGAGCCGAGATCGCGCCATTGCACTCCAGCCTGGGTAACAAGAGCGAAACTCCGTCTCAAAAAAAAAAAAAAAAAAAAAAAAAAAGAGCTGCAACCCTGGATTGTGAAGAGAGGTGACTTTCAGTTGTTATTTAATCATGATTTGTTAATTAACAGCTCATTTATGGAGGCATCTTAGATTAGTGGAAAAAGCAAGGAGTCAGACATCCAGGGTCAACCTCCACTTTCCTGCTGTGTGACCTTGGGCAAGTGGCTTCGCCTCTCTGGGCTTCAGGCTTTTTTAATCTGTAAAATGTGGTTGGGGTGAATGCCAGGTTTTCAAATCACATAGGGAAAATGAGGCTAGGAAAAGCCCTAGACTGAGTTACGGCTAGAATACTCTGGGTCTCAGTTTCCTCATCTGTCCGATGGGTGCAGAACTGGAGGATTAAGTGAGATAACACAGTGTGGGCATTAGAAAGAAAACATGGGGCAATGGTTCCATATCCCTGTGTGGCCTGAAAACTACATGTGAAATGTCTCATGAGGGCATGAAATGAAGACTAGTTTTTGATCCCTTCCTCTGCCCCGAGAGACTTTGAGAGTAGGGAGGCGAGACAGACTGTAGAAAGCAAAAAGTTCTTCTTCAAAGTTTCCTTTATTTTTAAAGAAGAATAATAAAGGTTAGAAATAATAGTTTGTTGTAAAGACTTTCTTCAAAGCCTTCTTTTCTTCTTATTTTTTGCTGGTAACTATTTGTGAAGCCCCATCCTATGTAGCTGTTGGACATGCTCACAGGCACATAGTACATTCCATGTCCTTGTACTTTAACCCAGATATCTGTGCTGGACGTGCTCACAGGCACGTCCCAGCTCGCAGCCTATGCCTCTTCCTTATTTGGACTTCCTCTCTTCCATTGTTCTCCACTGCCTTTACCTATTTAGAAAAGTTTTAAGTGGTTAGCCAATCAAGTTTTAGTTTAGATCATGAGGGCTCCAGCCAATGGAGATCAGACACAGCAGTAAAGACCCGATGTGTAAGGAATAAGTATGCCTGCCTTTCCTTTGTTCATTGTACTCTTGTGGCAAGATGGCTGACAAGAGCACCCTTTCTGCAGAAAGGAAAATTGCCTTGCTGAGAGAATTTTGTCCGAATGCTAATTTTTCCTTGCAGTATCTAGGAACGAGCATTCTGTCTCTAACAGAGACAGTACTCTGTGAAGGAAGGCAGATCCTTGGCCCAGCACGGTGCTGGCTCAGGGGATTCTGGGACAGGGGCTGAGTGCATTGACTGTGTGGGTGTGATAAGAAGCTCTGTGAACTAGAACCAGGAGAAAAAACAGTATTCTTTGCGTGGAAGGGAAATGAGGGCAAGAGGTCAGACCTGCAGAAGCCTGCACCCCAGGTACTTTAGTTCTGCCTGTAGGTGTGGCCTCTAGGGAGTGGGTTTGCAGGCACTGAGCCCTCTGTCTGTCCTTTGATCACAGGGAAACCAGTGGGAAGCAAAAGTGGGATTCTTGAGGCAGACCCAGTCTAGCTCAGGTGCCTGCCCTCTGGGGCGAGCTGCTCTGAGATGCATTTCCCTCCTCTGTGAGCTGTCTCAGCGCCCACTTCCAGTCACTGCCACCTGATGCTGTTACCCTTCTACTCTGAAAGGCAGGAAGTCCTGCTTCCATGCACCACCAGTGCCCAGCAGAGGCTTCCTTGCAAATGTGAGGCTGTTTTCAACTTCAGTCTGTTTCCCTGGCAGGATGCCCATGGCTGAGGCCCCCCAGGTGGCTGGTGGGCAGGGTGATGGAGGTGATGGCGAGGAAGCAGAGCCAGAGGGGATGTTCAAGGCCCACAAGGACTGCAAGAGAAAAGCCCGGGACTACCTCCGCCTGATGCCTCTGTGGTTGGCCCCGGTTGTGCTGGCTTTGGTGGGAGTGCTACTCTGGTATTTCCTAGGTAATGTCATGGGACTGCCCAGGAGAGGCACCTGGGGAGGGCTTGGGGTGGCCATAGCAGGCACAGCAGGACAGAACTGGGTTCCAGGCTCAGCCATGCTTGGCATGTTGATGTGTGACCTTGGGCAAGTCCTTTCTCCTCTCGGGGTCTCCCTCCATGTCCTGCCAGCTGGAGATGCTGTCAGATCCTGGTTCCAGGTCCTACGGCTCAGGTCTGCTCCCTGCTTGGGCAGAGTGCTGCAAAGCTCCCCACCAAGTGGGAAAAGAGAGGTCTCCTAACACCCAGTTCTTGTGAACCAACCAGCCCAGGGAACATAAACATTGCCTTCTGTCCTCCTGAGTTGCCCCAGAGGCTTGGAGCCAACCCAGACCCGAAGAAGGAGACCAGAGGCACTGATGGTACCTGGTACCAATTAGAGCCTCTGCTCACTTGAGCCCAGCCTGGGTTCTCCTCTAGGGTGGGGACCATAGTTCTATCCCCTCTGGATCTTCAGGGCCCAGCATGAATAGGGGATGCAGTGGGCAGCTGGAGAGCAGCCAGCCTTGGGGGCCTCTCCCATGTCCTTAATTATGCCCCCTGATCCCTGATCTCACAGCCCTCAGTCAGTCCCCTGGTGCCCCAGGAGCAATTGACCTGTGCTCTGGGCCCATTCATCCAGGCTTCCATTCATTCATTCATTGAATAAACACTCTTGAGCATCTATTACCTTTTTCTAAAATGGATGCAGTCTATCCTCTTCCTTCTGCCTTTGACAGCAGGAAGTAATGGAGAAATCAAATTGGACTATGCCTATAAAATGCTTCCCGTACACTGTAGAAGACCGATTCATTTGTTCATTTGGTCAGTGCTAAGCACGTCCTGTGTGCCGGGTTCTGGGGATAGCCCCTGTCCTTGTGATTTAGCCAAGGCATCAGACCTGACACACTCTAAAGTGCAGCATATACTGGGACAGAGGAAGGTGAAGGCTGGGGAGCCACAGCAGGGACAACCCAGCTTGCCTGTGTGATCAGAGTATCCCACAGGCAAGGTGTTTAACCAGGTGTTTAACCCTGCGAAGGTTAGCTAGTGCTCTTCCTGGCTGAATCTACTGGTGGAATTCCAGGCCTGTTGAAAGCAACCTAGGGACCAACTTTGGAGCAGTGGAGAGAAATCCATGTAGGCCTAGATCCAAGGGGGTCAGGGTTGGGGTATCTGTAAGCAGCCTCTGGGAATGACCCTCTTGGGGACTCCAGGCCTGACATGGGCCTGCTTGCAATGACTCACAGTGATTCTACCCAGAGTCGAGCAACGCGGACAGTAGATGCTGTGTGTATTTCGTCACTGGCAGGAAGCCAGTGCCCCAAATAGCACAGGGCTGGGGTGGTGGGGGGCCTCCTCAGGTAGCACGCTAATTAGTCTTCGGGGTAAACCACAGGGTACTGGGCTGGAGGGCCAGGAACTCACCTGCAAATTGTTTCTCTTTGCAGAGGAGTTTAATTCCCCCTGATTATGCTCCTGGGGTAAATCACCCCCTACCCCAGGAGAGGTGCTCCATGGGGCTGATGACCCAAGGGGTGAGTGGTCCCGAGGGGTGAGTGCTCGTTTGGGGGAAGCCAACACCCCCACAGAGGGACTAAGGGGAGGCGGCACTTCAGGAGCTGTTTGAAGGACTCCTCTCACATGGACCAGGCTGTGCTCTTGGGACTGGGTGCTGGGTAGGGAGGTGGATAAGAGAGTCGCCTTGCCTGGTCTGGAAGAGGAGGTGGGCAAGTGGCCGGTGACACTGGAGCAGGACAGGCCCCAAGCACGGAGGGCAGCCTGGCCCAAGGAGAGGGTGGGGCCAGCTTCCCAAGAAGGATGGTAGCAGGGCCCTTACTACCACCAAGCATACATATTTCCCGGTCCTTCCCCTTTCCTGCTCTCCCTGCCTGAGACACTCTTTGCACAGATGCACATCACCTTCTTCCCTGGGCTCCGCACCGCAGCCCACCCCACGCCCTGATTGCCACTGCACGGACCACCTCTAACCTGTTATACACCACGTGCTGTTTACCATCCAATCCCTTGCTAGTCTTCAAGCTACTAAGGGCAGTTTTCTTCTGTATTGTTCTGTTCATTGTTTTGCTCTTATAGTCCCAAGTGCTTCAGCTCAGTTCCTACATGGCACTGCTCACACGTGGATGCCGAATACTGTGTGGTTCCCAGAGCCACGCCTTTCTTTTCATTGTTGTTTTAAGATGGACTTTCGCTCTTGATGCCCAGGCTGGAGCACAGTGGTGCGATCTCCCCTCACCGCAACCTCCACCAGGCTCAAGCAATTCTCCTGCCTCAGCCTCCCAAGTAGCTGGGACTACAGGTGCCCGCCACCGCGCCAGGCTAATTTTTGTATTTCTAGTAGAGACAGGGTTTCACCATGTTGGCCAGGTTGGTCTCAATCTCCTGACCTCAGGTAATCCACCCACCTGGGCTTCCCAAAGTGCTGGGATTACAGGCGTGAGCCACCGAGCCTGGCCGGAGCCACGCCTTTCTTACCCACCACTGTCAGCTTCCCGAGGGAAGACACATCTGTCTTGGTGAACTAGCACACCCCATATAGCAGGTGCTTAGCTCACACCTGTGGGATCCCTGGACGGCCGGACCAGTGGAAGGATGCCTCGTGGGGCTGACCCATGACCTTAGCCTTCTGGGCCTAAGGGATTTCCTGGCCTTCATGTCGTCCGCGTCCTGGACCGGTTGCTGTGTCAACCTCTCACTGGGAGCGTATAGGGCACCATCCATCTGGGGCCTCTCTCCTCCCTGGCACCTGACAGCCAGTTTGTCATCAAGTAAGCTTTCGATGACCATGATGACAACGGCAGTGACAGAGATGATGACGATGATGATGACGGTATCGTGGAGACCCAAGACACTGAGGCTGAGCTGAGGGTGTGGGTGGCAGAAGGCATGGAACAGACAGGAGCCTTTTCCATCCGCTTCCTCCGGTAACCCTGCTGGTTCCTTCCTGGGCAGGGCACAAGGCGGAGGTGACGGTCAGCCAGGTGTACTCAGGCAGCCTGCGCGTGCTCAATCGCCATTTCTCCCAGGATCTGGCCCGCCGGGAGTCCAGTGCCTTCCGCAGTGAAACCGCCAAAGCCCAGAGGATGGTAGGCAAGGATCTGGGGGCTGGGAGGGGAGAGTGTGGGCGTGAAGAGAGGGGTGGGGTCTGATCACAAGGCGGCAATCGGTAACCCATCTGGAGCACTCACGGGACCACAGCCCTGCCCCAGGTTGAGGGTGATGGGAAAGTCAGTGGACGCTTGGGTCAGTCACACTCGGATTAGATCCTGATCACGCCTCTTACCAGGGGTGGGGCATGACCTTGGGAAGGGTCCTGAAGCGCAGCTGACTCTGTCGATGACCCCCTGCTGCCCCTCCGTTACAGGGTGGTAGCCTCCTCCTGTCCCTCCGTTATAGGACATTGGCCCTCTCTCGCCCCTCCATTACTGGACGGTGGCCCCCTCTCGCCCCTCCATTACAGAGCGGTGGTCCCCTCCTGCCCCTCCTGCCCCTCCGTTACAGGACAGTAGCTCACTGCATGCAGGCTGGTCTACTGCCTGCCACTTTCAGGCCACAGGACCACTGGCCCTGGCAGGGGCGGTGGTTCAGCGTAAGTTCCAGGCTGTCTCCCAGAGGTACCCTGCTGGGCTGGGCTCAGACGCTCTCAGCTCTCCCCTGTACCTTCACGGCCCGGGTGGGTTGCCCACTTTCCAGCCTCTCTGCCCCTCCCAACTACTGTTTCCCAGAATCACCTCCGAATCAGCCGCTTGTCCCACCTTCTCAATGGCGGGTCTGCTTCTGAGGGACCCAGCCTGAGGCTGTCTGTTTCCTCCTCCATAAAGTTGGGCTGATAACAGCAGCCTTCTGCAGGTTCGCTGGGGGTTGCAGTGAGGCTGAGATAACAGAACACTATTCCCACGCTGTGCAAACGCTTCAGAGCCTGCAATCCTGCCGGCCGCGCCGTAGTTGCAGATGGGCAAAAACTCCAGCCAACTGTGCTACTCCTCAGAGCCACTGGCTTGTCCCAGGCTACGGGAGGGGGCGGGGAGGGGACCCAGAAGCCCAGAGGGGTTTTTCAGAGTGGAAGAGTGACTTTTGGCAAGGAGCAGAGAGGTCTTTGGCAGTTCGGGTGAAGGCGAGAGCCAGCTGTGGTGGGAGGCGAAGGAAGGGGACCGGGTGTGAGTTTCACGCATGCCCCGGGCCCAGCCACGGAGTGCTGCGTGGCTGTGAGCAAGCCTGTCCGCCTTGGAGGCTCCTGCATGGAGCAGGGCTGCCGCGGGGAGCAAAGAGCACCCCGAGGTAAGAAGCAACTTGGTCTCTGCTGCAGAGGGTCCCAGGGGCTCTTGTCTTCCCTCCTCACAGCTCAAGGAGCTCATTGCCAGCACCCGCCTGGGAACTTACTACAACTCCAGCTCCGTCTACTCCTTTGGGTGAGCTGTCCTTGCCCCTGAACGGCCCCTGCTAGGATCTGAGATTCGAAGAATGGGAGGGGGCTCTGTAGACTGCTGATGCAATGCCTTCATGTTTAAAACGGGGAAACTAGGCCGGGCGCGGTGGCTCAAGCCTATAATCCCAGCACTTTGGGAGGCCGAGGCGGGTGGATCACGAGGTCAGATCGAGACCATCCTAGCCAACATGGTGAAACCCCGTCTCTACTAAAAATACAAAAATGGAGCAGGGCATGGTGGTGCGTGGCTGTAATCCCAGCTACTCGGAAGGCTGAGGCAGGAGAATCAGAATTGCTTTAACCTTGGAGGCAGAGGTTGCAGTGAGCCAAGATTGTGCCACTACACTCCAGGCTGCTGACAGCAAGATTCTGTCTCAAAAAATTAAAAAATGGGGGAAACTAAGGCACAGGGAGGGAACTTGGCTTCCTGCATGTGACCCTCCCTTCACTGAGCTCATCTGTGGAATGGGAACATAGGTGTGATAGGTTCACACCAGGTGGTGACTGTGATGGCTCATCAAGGTCCTGACACCATCAGGTGACACCATGCTGGGGGTGATGGGGGGTCCTGACACCATCAGGTGACGCCATGCTGGGGGGGGTGGGGGGGGTCCTGACACCATCAGGTGACGCCATGCTTGGGGGGCTGGGGGTAAGAGCATTGGCTCCAGGGCCCAGCTGTTGTGTTCACATCTGGTTCTGCTACTTGCAGCATAGTCTATGGCACACAAGTTAATCTCTGGTGCCTCGGTTTTCTCATTCGTAAAATGGGGATGATGAGAGTGCCTCCTTCAGAGGTTGCTAGGAGCCTTCTGTGTGAAGACTGGAGTGGAGGAAGCGCTCGGCGTGCATGAGCGTGGGGGCGCTGCCAGACCTCAGAATCCTTCCCTGGCCCCTCTCACTCCTGCCTGCTTCAGGGAAGGACCCCTCACCTGCTTCTTCTGGTTCATTCTTCAAATCCCTGAGCACCGCCAGCCGATGCTGAGCCCTGAGGTGGTGCAGGCGCTGTTGATGGAAGAGCTGCTGTCTACGGTCAACAGCTCGGCTGCCGTCCCCTACCGGGATGAGTACGAGATGGACCCGGAGAGCCTAGTAATCCTGGGTCAGTCCTGGGAGCGGGAACATGGAGTCAACTCACAAGGTTGGGGGAAACAGCTGTGATGAGGCCTGGGGAGGCTGCCTGCCAGGGCCGGGGTGCTCTCAGGACAGGCCCCCTGGAGAGCCCCCTGGTAAGGGAGCAGTGCCATTGCATTCAAGCAGCCAGGACAGAAGGCGGGGTGAGGGGCGCTTGGGGTGAATCTCAGACAAGCATGGCTCCAAGAGTCTCTTTTAATTTTATTTTCATTGTATTTTCTTCTATTTATTTCCTCCTTGTTTATTTGTTTCCTTTTAACAGAAGCCAGTGTGAAAGACATAGTTGCGCTGAATTCCACGCTGGGTACGCGCCTTGTTTGTTTCTCATTCCGCACTTTCCTTTGGAGTTGGTGTTTTTCTTGGCTTTGTTGTGTGTCAGGAGGCCGTGGGGCTGCTACAGTGGGTGCAGGAAGCCCGGGCCAAGACCCCCCCCCCGGGGGGTGCCGTGATGGACTCAGCGATGGGTCCCAAGCAAGTCCGGAGCAGGTGTGAGGAGAGGAGGTGGTGTGCGCGCGTCTGCTTGTGTGTGTCTTGTAGACGGGTGTGTATGCATTCCTGTGTGGGCGTGAAGATGAACCGGGTTCAGCGATCCACAAATGTGACTCTCCTTCCCTATCACTGACTTCACCCTGCCTCCAAGCCACTGTTTGCACTGATGGTAGAAAATCATCTTGCCGATTCACGGTTTATCAGTCACGTTGGTTTTCATACCTGGCCCTTTGGAAGTAGCAGTGCCATGGCATTCAAGAACGCTCCTTCCACTTCTTCCTTTCCTTGCCAGTCAGGCTCATCAGCCCTACCTCCCTACCTGATGTCATATTGCTAGAGTCACCTTGCTTTTCTCCAAGCGGACCCACTGTCTCTCAGCGGACCAGCAGAGTCGCCACGCTGCTCAAGGCAGGAGGTGCTGCGCTAAGCTGTAGTTTGTGTGAGTTGTGCAGTGCACGCACTGGGCTGCTGGACTCTGTGGCCCCTAAATTCTCGGATTCCTCCTAAACTAACCAGTGTTGTCACCTGGAACCAAGGTGGGGGTGAGCGTCTAACCCCTTCTCAGGGAGGGAGGCAGAGTTTAAATCCTCGTTATACTTTTCCTTGCCTTCCGCCTTCCCATCCTGCTGGCCAAATGCTTGCTTCCTTGTTGGGTGGAGGTGAGATGAGGTCAAAGTACAATTTTCAAAGAGGTAAAATCACGATTCTCATACAAAGATAGAGTGACCATGTGTCAAAGATCTATTTAGTTGATTAATGGGAGAGCCAGTGAATGGGTAAAGAATGTAAGAAACTGATCTGTCTGTCTGTCTGTCTATCCATCCGTCCACCCACCCACCCACCAACCCACCCACCTACCTATCTACCTACCTACCTACCTATCTATCTCTCTGTCTGCCTGCTTGGCTGCCTGCCTGTCTATCTAGTTACCTAGCTAGCTAGCTGTTGATCTGTCGATCTGTTTGTCTATCTATTATACATATATCGATCAGTTTATCTCTATCTATCTAGCTGTCTATCTAAGCTGTCTACCTAGTTGTCTATCTATCTATAATCTTTCTAACTACTTACCTATCTCCCTGTCTGTCCACCTAGCTAACTAGCTAGCTGTCTGTCTATCATGAATCATCCATGGAAAAAGAGAACCGCTGGAACAACATTACGAAGTTAGATACAAACCTGGTTAATGTCCTGCCAGGCAAGAAAACTCAAACCTTCGGGGTTGTCTTTTCTAATGAATTAAAATCATTGACAGCTTGTTATAGTGTTCCGAAAGTTAACATCTACCTCCACAGAGTCCAAGGCTTGATAATCAACGTCCAATAGTAAGTCAGAATTATGACTCCTGAGAGCCTCAAGGGGACTTAATCAGACAATGCTTGGGGACGGAGACTGGCTCACTGCAGCCTGCACACCAAATCTGGTCCCCTGCTGCCTGATTTTGGAGGGCCCATGAGCCAAGAATGGCATATATAAGAATGACATATATACACACACACACACACACACGTATATATACATATATATACGTGTGTGTGTGTGTGTGTGTGTGTGTGTATATATATATATATATATATATTTTTTTTTTTTTTTTTTTTTTTGAGATGGAGTCTCACTCTGTCACCCAGGCTGGAGTACAGTTGGGTGATCTCGGCTCACTGCAACCTCAGTCTCCCAGGTTCAAGTGATTCTCCAGCCTCTGCCTTCCAAGTAGCTGGGATTACAGATGCCTGCCACCACACCCAGCTAATTTTTATATTTTTAGCAGAGAACGGGTTTCGCTATGTTGGCCAGGCTGGTCTCGAACATCTGACCTCAGGTGATCTGCCCGCCTCAACCTCCCAAAGTGCTGGGGTTACAGGCATAAGCCACTCTACCTGGCTGATTTTTATATCTTTTAATGATTGAAAAAGCTCCTATGGGGCCAGGCACGGTAGCTCACGCCTGTCATCCCAGCACTTTGGGAGGCCAAGGCGGGCAGATCACCTGAGGTCAGGAGTTTGAGACGAGCCTGGCCAACATGGCAAAACCCCATCTCTACTAAAAATACAAAATTTAGCTGGGCGTGGTGGCCAGTGCCTGTAGTCCCAGCTCCTTAGAAGACTGAGGCAGGAGAATCGCTTGAATCCGGGGGGCGGAGCTTGCAGCGAGCCGAGATTGTGTCACTGCACTCCAGTCTGGGTGACAGAGTGAGACTCGGTATAAGAAAGAAGGAAGGAAGCGGGGAAGGGAGGATCCTATGGAAAGTTGTTTCCTGTTTTAGAAGAGCCTGTGTAATAGCCTCATGTTGCCTCGTGCCAGTGTGTCCCCATGTTCCTGGCAGTTATTCTGTAATTATCGGTGCTTACTGGGTGCTCATTTCATGAGTGAACGATTGAACAAATGAATGAATGCGTGAATGAGGAGACTGCTTCAGTGCACATCCAGAGCACAGAGTCTCGGGGCAGAGATAACCACCCAAATCCTCTAAGTCGACTTCTGGAGCACTTCCTCCATGCTAGGCCCCATTCCTGTGCCGAGGACACCAGGGTGACCGTATCCTCACCCCTGCCCTTGAAGGAGCTTCAAGCCCCATGAGGGAGACAGACACATAAACACTCCAGCCTGGCGATAAAGTGAGACTCCGTCTCGGGGGAAAAAAATAAATTAGCTGGGCCTGGTGGCATGCACTTGTAGTCCTAGCTACCTGGGGACAGAGGAGGGGAGGCTAAGGTGGGAGGATCACTCGAGCTCAGGAGGTCAAGGCTGCAATGAGCTGTTGTGTGGCATCGCTGCACTCCCGCCTGGGTGACAGTCTGTCTCAACAAATAATTTTAAAAAGAAAAAGAAATAGATTCGGACCTGGCAGTGGGTAGGGGCTCCCTGGGCAGAGGGAAGGGCAGGGGCAAAGGCTGGAGGAGGGGACCACCCCAGGCATGTTCAGTGACTTCCTCCCAGCCCCCAGAGGGGTCGGGCTCCCTGAAGGTGTTTCTGATTAACAAGAGGTTAGCACACACCTCTCCACTGAATTCACCTCAAAAAAGAAAAAAAAAGAGTAATGATTAAGTGGCAAGAGCAAAGAATCTGCTTGGAGCAAGATTTAAAGAACACAAAACCCTTGGAAGAGCCAGGCGTCTTTCCCCAGCTGCTGGTGGCGGCCCTGTCCCTTCCCTGGGCAGATACTGTTGGTCTCTCCCTGGGAAGGTCAGCTCCCCACTGGAGTCAGGACGGAAGGGGTCAGGGAGAAGGGGCTGAGCCACAGATGGCAGCCTCAGAACAAAACGTCTTCACCTCCATTCCCTTCCCGGTCCTCGGCACTGCCCAGAGGGGGTCGTAGGACAGGGATCATCATGACATCCAGTTGACAGAACTCGGAGTGGCTAAGCCACCGGCCCAGACTCACACAGCTGCTGAGTGTTGGTGCTAGGTGGGGAGGGTAGTGCCCCTCCTTCCTTCTCTCCAGTCCCCTCCCCCTACCCACTCTCCCCTGGGGGCCCAGCAGATGGCTAGTCCGGGGGGCTGCCCCCAGGCTGACCAAGCTGACAGGGTTTGCCTGTCTGTGGCCTTCCAAAGAAGACATTTTACAGCAGAGAAAATAGACGGAAAACTCAGATTATTTATTTATTTATTTATTTTATTTATTTTGAGACGGAGTCTCACTCTGTCGCTCAGGCTGGAGCGCAGTGGCACGATCTCGGCTCACTACAACCTCCACCCCCACCCATCCCCCGGGTTCAAGCGATTCTCCTGCCTCAGCCTCCCGAGTAGCTGGGACTAAAGGTGCATGCCACCACACCCAGGCCATTTTTATATTGTTAGTAGAGGCGGGGTTTCACCGTGTTGGCCAGGGTGGTCTCAATCTCCTGACCTCCTGATCCACCCGCCTCGGCCTCCCAAAGTACTGAGATGACAGGCGTGAGCCACTGTGCCCGGCCAAAACTCAGGTTTTATGATTTCATGTCACCAGGCTGCCTCCCACATCCCAGGTTCATTCCTAAGTCCCCACTGACTCCTGGAAGAACACCAGGCTTCTGGGGAAGTTGAAATGAGACACTGCATGATCCACGAGAGAGCGTATGTTCACTGCCAGACCCTGGTGCCTAGATCAAACACACAGTAGGTGCACAGTTGCTGTTTTGAATGAATGAATGAATGAATGAATGAATGATGCAGGCGGTACTGCTCTGGAAGTTCTGGCAGCGCATCAGAGCTTATGGATTAGATAGAAGAGCAGAGGCTCACCGGTGTGTGGGGCAGGGGTATAGGGTGTGATGGCGAAGGAGGTGTCAAGTGAGGCAGCTGTGAGATGGGCTAGGTCTGAGCCTCAGGCGGGGCCAGCTGCAGGGTGGCAAGTCACAGGCCTTTCTCCCCGGCCACACCTGCTCCCTCTCCCTCACACCCACCCGAGGACCAGGCACTGTCTTTACCGAGCCCCTGCTGTGCAAGGCGCTCTGCTGGGCCCTCAAAGGTGCATCATCCCACAGCCTGCTGGCCGTCCTGCCAGGGTTGTGTTATTGAACCGTTCTACAGATGAGGAAACTGAGGCTCAGGAAAGATCAGGTGGTGGCTGGGCAAACCCAGGTCTGTGCAATGGGCACAATCATTGTAAGTATCTCATAGAGCTGTTGTGGCATTCAGTGAGACAGTGAGTGGAAGGCATTCCGCTCCGCTTCTGGCCTGTAGCAAATGCTTGAGAAGGACTCGTTTTATTCTGACAGCTTCACTATCAGTAGCTCAAAGCTCATGTCCGCCCGCCAGGGCAGCCTCCCACACCCCTCCTTTGGGCACTCCCTTCTCTCTATGGGAAGCGAAGCCCTCATCGCTCTCCTCTTCACTGCACGTGGCCTCACTGGTCTCCACAGAGTGGCTCAGCAGCCGGAGGAGGGTGTGGTCCAAGCCAGCCCATGTCCCGGCCTTGCCCAACCTTCCGTGGCTCCCCACGGCTGCAGGAGAAAGCGGCACCTGTCCTGGGAGTGGCCTGGGCCAGGCCTCCCTGCCTTTAGCTTGTCCTCTGGCTACATGTGCCCTGTGCACACTTTCCTCAAAGCCACCCAGCTCGCCCCAGCCTCTTTGCTTATGCTGGGACCCCCAGGACGCCCCCAGCCCACAGGCCGGGTTTGGAGCCGTCACCTCCTGAGCTATTCTTGACTGTTCTGCGTCTGTCTGTCCCTGCTGTCATCCATGGCCCCAGGCAGCGACTGGATCTTTACCTGGGCACTCAGAAGGCACCAAGCTCAGTGGGCATCCATCCCATGCATGAATGACTGAACCAATGAATGAATGTGTGAATGAGGATACTGACAAGGGAATGCAGCCAGGAAAGGGAAGGATGTGGGCTGCAGCGTGTCTGTCTGTCCCCGCCAGGCTCCCCTGCCCACCCCATCCTGCCTGGGGGAGGACGTCGAGGGATCTGGCTCCCAGGGTCCCCTCCTTCGGGCTCACAGGAGTCAGGGGCTGTACCCCTCTCCCCCTCCAGGCTGTTACCGCTACAGCTACATTGGTCAGGGCCAGGTCCTCCGGCTGAAGGGACCCGACCAGCTGGCCCCCAGCTGCCTGTGGCATCTGCAGGGCCCTGAGGACCTCATGCTCAAACTCCGGCTGGAGTGGACGCTGGCTGAGTGCCGGGACCGACTGGCCATGTATGACGTGGCTGGGCCCCTGGAAAAGAGACTCATCACCTCGTGAGTCCCTGGGAAGGAGGGTGGGGTGGGAGGGCTGGAGAGTGGACTGGCTGATGGGGGGTGGGGTCAAAAGTGACCAACAGCATTCTTAGACAAGGGTGGTAGGACCTTAGGCCTGGGTACCGGGGAGCCCAGCGGAGATAGGGGAGAGGAGGCTGGAGATGGTTTTGTACTTCGGACACTCCCTCGCCGAGCCTCAGTCTTCCCGTCTGTAACAAAGCTGTTGTTCTAGATGACCCATAAGGTCAGCTCTGGGAGGCACCTGGCTTGTCGGCATGCTTCAGGGTCTGGGTACAACCTGGACTTTCAACCCCCGGGCCATTCCTAAATCCTGACTGCCTCCTGGCCGAACACCCACCCTCCCTGCTTCCCAGCTTCTGGTAGGGTTTAAATGAGATACTAGATGCTCCATGGGAGGGGATATCTTCACTGCCAGACCCCGGTGCTTAGACCCAGTGCACAGTAGGTGTGCAGGATCTGTTGTGAGTGAATGAATGAATGATGCACGCGGTGCTGCTTTGCGAGTTCTAGCAATGCATCGAAGCTCACGGGTTAAATGTCAGAGCAGAGAGGCTCACTGGGGGGTGGGGGTGGGGGTGGGGGTGGGGTGTGATGGGGAACTCCCTGCCTCCTAGCTGTGTACCCTAAGGCAAGTTACTTTGCCTCTCAGCATGTCAATTTTTTTTAACCTGTAAAATGAGTTCACAATCATGCTTACCTTTGAGGGTCACTGGAGGATTTAAATCAGACTATGTGTGCCATGATCCTCACATCTAGTGAGTACCCAGTAAACGCTAGCCATTATTGCTATCATTATATATAGTCTAATTGGGGCTGGCCACAAAAGGCATTGAGTGGAAGGAGCAGTTTGGACTTTGATATTTGGTAAGTGGGGAGCTGTTGATAGTTCCCGAGCAGAGGAGTGGGGCTTTAGGGCATGAGATATGGTGTGGAGTGCAGAAGTGATTAGGATCAGAGGGCAAGTGGCAGGGGCAGGGGAGCAGGGACTGGAAATGGCCTTGACCTTCAGGAGCCTGGTCACCCTCCCACAGGATGGGGAGACAGGTGTTGGCCTGCGAAGCTCTGCAGGAGATGGGGAAGATGCTGGGCTGGGCAGTTCTCAGCGATTGTTTGTTGAGCACTTACTCTGTGCTGGGCGCCAGGCTGATGCTTCTTCGGTCTCACTTGGGCCATGGACAGCCTCCAGGCAGATGGGAGGAAACCAGTGTGCTCAGATCAAGGGCAGTCTTTGAACGTGAGCCGGAAGACGTTCTTGCCACACCCCTCCCCCAGAACTTCTCCGGGCTGCTGTCTCCTTGTCACCCTTCCTGCTGCCCTGCTGGGTGTCACCTCGATCTGGGGGCGTGTGTGAGCTGAGTGCCTGGAGGGCTCTGGGAAGTGCAGAGAAGCCAGACACCCTCCGACTTCCAGGTCCAAAAAGGGTGGGGATGCTTAGGGGTTTCCCCTAGGGCTTCTCTGGGTGTCCCTCAGCCTGAGGTTGGGAGGGGACCCGACTGCCAGGCCCGGCTCTGTTCCTATTCACTGTGGCTCCTGGTGGCTCCCTGGTCCCAGACCTTTAGAGAAGCTCTCAAATGATGGGTCAGGCCCAAGAGCCGACACACAGCCAGGGAGGCTATTGGGTTGCCCGCTCAGGGGGAGGCTGGGCTGTTAGTTTCTTATAAATTGGTCCATCGGATGCACTGGGACTCCAGAGAGCACTGTCATTGGCGCCGCGAAGCTGGGTGGAGATTGGTGAGAGGGTGAAGGGGAGTTGGAGTATCCCTGTCTGAGACGGGCAGACCAGGGGCACCTACGTATGTGGGAGGGTACCAGCCATCAAGGGCAGTGCCTAGCGCAGGCCTGTCTCTGCCACGGACCGCCAGTGGGGCCTCAGTTTCCCCATCTGGGAGTCATGCAGCTGACCTGGACAGTGTCACCAGGGTCTTTTCAGGGCTGACATTCCAGACTTCTAAAAGCCCAGAAGTCTCAGATACGGATATTTGTTCTTGAGCTTCTCAGGCACCAAACTCTGGGCAGATTTCTGGGTACCCTGGGGGTCACCAGACCACACCCGCTTGCCCCGTCCCACCCTTGAACAAGGCCGGGAGTTGCGGTGTGGCCAGCCAGAAGGGGTGGTCGCTGCAGGTGCCAGTCTAGTCTCCCTGCCAGGGATGCTAGGGGTCACAGTGATTCTGTAGCGGGGGCTGGGGAGGGAGCATGGGACTCAAGCCATCATCATCAAACTGTAAGTTCCGGAAGTCTGGGGAGCCTCCTGGCCTCTCTCACCTGAGGAGCTGGACTGGCCCTTGGAGGACCCTCCATCTGTCCTCTGGGGCCAGGGACACACAGACACCTCCACAGGGACAGACAGCGGTCTGGTAGCAGACCTGGGCCCAGATGTCCAGACTCCCGCCCACCTCCCCCAGCCGCCACCTGCCACCCTCCCTGCCACTCCCCTCCCAGAGCCCGGCCCACCCCTGTTGCCTCGCTCTGCTCTGCCAGGGTGTACGGCTGCAGCCGCCAGGAGCCGGTGGTGGAAGTCCTGGCGTCGGGGGCCGTCATGGCGGTGGTCTGGAAAAAGGGCCTGCACAGCTACTACGACCCCTTCGCGCTCTCCGTGCAGCCGGTGGTCTTCCAGGGTGAGGGGCAGGGGTCCCTGGGGCAGGGGAGGGGTGCGGTAGAATCCCAGGGCCCTCCGCTGGGCTGACTCCTCACCTTCTTTGCACAAACTGAGGATGGGATGGGGAGAGGGAAGGTTCTGGAAGCTCCGTCCCCTCCCCTCTGCTCCCCACCCCCTCCCCGCCCTCTCCCCCACCCCTGCACCCACCAGTGGCTGGGCCTGGAACGCGGGTCTGTTTGCGGCAGGACCAAAAACGCCTTTGATTCTGCCCTAGACGGTCCGCACAGCCAAGGCAAGAGGGCGCCTGAGGGGTGATGAGGGCACAGTCAGGCCTCAGCCCCTGGTGTGGCGGGTCCCTCCTGCCTCCCAGCCCCCACCCTCCTCCTGCTTCGGGACCTCCCTCCTCGCCCCCTTCCCAGGAAGGGCACGTCCCACCCCACGCTGGACAGCTGTTCTGGGCCTGGGCCAGCGTGCCTCTGGGCAGGAGGCTCAAACTTTGCCATTTCTGGAGCTCGGGAGGGGAGGGTGGCAGAGAGGAGGCCACCGAGTGTTGGCAGCTGCTTCTCCCCCACCCCTCTGCCCACTCCGCTCCCTCCCACTCCAGGCCCCCACCCTCTCCTCGGTTCTATAGCACGCTCTCGGGCAGGGACCTGGGTCCCTAGGGCGCTAAGTGGGTAGCAGAGTTGTTCTCTTGGGAGTTTGACACAGGCTGGAGCGTGGAGGGAACAAGGGGCTTTGGCGACCCTGGCCCCGTGGAGAGGTGGCCAAGGCAGCTGAGGATGCTCCTGTCCTGCCCCTGGACCCCTCAGCCTCTCCCTAAGTGGTCCCAACCAAGACACCCCTTTTCCGTGAACCTCGTCTTCAGAAGGGGGCACAGCCCTCTCTCCCACAGCAGCCACACCGCGAGGCCTCTGCAGGCGTGATGCATTTTGTAAACTGGCAAGTTCTGTCCCTAGAATGTCAATGACACACAGACGGAGCACTTACTACCCGCCAGGCTGTCTGAATGTTTTCTGTCTATTCAGTCCGCTCTACTACCCTATGAGGCGTGTGCTGTTACTGGCCCCGTTTTCCAGATGAGGAAACCGAGGCCCAGGCTCACATAGTCACACTCAACCACAGGGCTTTGCTGGCAGCAGTGGCAGGGGTGGTGGGGTTACAAGCTGCGCCTGCCTGCTGGGAGGTGCGGCCAGGGCCCCCCGTGTAACGGCACTTCTCCTGGCCCAGCCTGCGAGGTGAACCTGACGCTGGATGACAGGCTGGACTCCCAGGGCATCCTCAGCACCCCATATTTCCCCAGCTACTACTCGCCCCGCACCCACTGCTCCTGGCACCTCACGGTGAGCCCCCACCCTGCCTGACCACCTACCCTCTGCCCCAAGCATCTCCAGGTCCCTGGGGACCCAGGATGAGAGGGGATAGTGTCCCACCTCTGCTGAAGCCCCCACAGGCTGAGCCCTGGGTACTAATCCTGCCAGGGCGGAGAGGGGTGTGGGCAAGGTCTCCCTCTGTGGGTTACAGCAATGCCTGTTTGTTGAGTGACTGATAGACTGTATCCCCACCTGGGATTCTGGCTCTCCTTCTCTTTGTTGTTAAGGAGTGGGTTTACCAACCTGGGCACACCTCATGGGCGACCTGATGGCCCACCAGCCGGCTCACACCCCACGGCCATCTAATGACCCTCTCCTCCCTCCCAGGTGCCCTCGCTGGACTACGGCTTGGCCCTCTGGTTTGACGCCTATGCACTGCGAAGGCAGAAGTCCGATTTGCCATGCACCCAGGGCCAGTGGACAATCCAGAACAGGAGGTACCGCTTCCTCTCCTCCCTCTGGCTTCCTTTCCTCCCTCCCTTAGAGGTGGCCCTCCACAATGGGAGCCAAGTCCCCAACGTCAGAGGGGCAGCAGGGGTAGCAAGCAGAGGCTGCGGCTGGTGTCAGGCCTATGCTGTTGGGGTGACACGAGGTGCGACTTCAGGCCTGTGCTGTTGGGGTCACACGGGGTGTGACTTCAGGTCTGTGCTGTTGGGGGTGACATGGTGATGCAGTGACTTCAGGGCTTTGCTTTTGGTGGTGAAATGCTGATGGCGTGTGACATCGGGCTTGTGCTGTTGGGGTGACATGCTGGTTCGGTGACGTCAGGCCTGTGCTGCCTGGAGAGCAGCAGGCATCTGTGGCATGATGGGGGCATCTCTGGACATGGCTGCCCTGAGTGCTCATGGTGCTTCCTTGGGGCCTCCTTGCGACTCGCCTAGGCCGAGCACGGCTGGATATTCCCCCCCACACCCCCGGCGCCACCGAGACCACAGGGTGACCCTGAGATGGGTCGGGGAGTCCCAGTTCTGCGAATGATGAGAACATGTTCTCTTGCCTCTCTCCCTACCCCAGAGCTGAACTTTCCGTCTCAGGGAGGCCCAGAAAGGAGAAGGAACAGTCTTGGGTCTGACACCCGCTGTCTCATCCCCCACCCCCATGGGGATTCCATTTGCCAGAGACGGGGCCCCAGCATTCTGGGGGTTCGGTGGTGTGGTGTTAGGTGCTAAGACAGGCGTTCAGTGTGTTGGCCTGATGTCCTGTGTGGTCATCAGCGCCTTGCCCATTCCCCAGAGGAGGAAATCAAGGCTCAGCTGGATTAGGTGGCATGCAGATGGGTCCACAGTTGGGGTCTCTCCCTTATCCCCTCCAGCCACAAACAGCAGGACAAAGGAAGCCCCACCCCATGCTTCCTGTGGGAGGCCCTCCCCCCCCTCCCCCTCCTCCTGCCCCACCCCACGCTTCCTATGGGAGGGTTCACCTCCTCCCCCTCCTCTGCCCCTCCCCCTCCCCCTCCCCCTCCCCCTCCCCCTCCCTCCCTGATACAGTCGGGCAGGGGTTTGGATACTGAGGAGCCAGGGACTTCACAAGCTACCATTGGGTAATGACAGAGCGAGTGTAGAACACGGATGGGGAGAGTCTTTTCCCTTATCAAAAAGAATGCTGCCTCGGTGGTGAATTTGGGGTCTCTGAGCACCACTGAGCTATAGATGTGTGGGCTGAGCCAGTCCCAGTGCCCAGCCTGGGGTACAAGTGGGGAAACTGACCAGCGAGGGCTAAGGACTTGGCCTGTCGTCCCTGTCTTTTCTGCCTTTCAGTGGTGGGGATGGACTTCAGGGTGTAGCCAAGCGGTGGGTGGGGGGTGAGGGTGAGGCCTGGCAGCTCTCTATGTCCCCATGGCTCCCCTCCCTCTGTCCAAGCACCCCTCACCACGTGAGGATGGGAGTGCTCAGAGGGGTCTGGCATCAGGGTCTGTATGAAACTCCAGATGCACCCCTACCTCGTCTGTGAAACGAGGGCCTCAGGCCAGCCCAGGGCCGCAGCCTTTGATTATTTCCCCATCTGGAAGGCGCTATCTCCTCTACAAGTTGAGCTGATTCATTCCTGGCCAAATGCCATTCCAAGTCAGGCTGGGGAGGTGGAAAGAGTTCAGCATCTGCCTCCTCTGCTTCCTGTTTGGGTGAGGACTTAGATCCCCCAGCCTCAGGTAACTCATCTGAAAAAAGGGCATGAAAGAGCCCCCCGCCCCGGGAAGACTCAGTGAGACAATGCGTGGGGAATGGTGTGCGTGCAGGCATGGATCGGGCCAGCGACTCCGCGTTCATCACCGGCTCTCAGGCCGCTCTGGACAGGCACAAGCCGAGGGCTTTATGGTGCTGCCTCCTCCAGCCTCAATAACTCAGCGAGGAGGCAGGTGCCTGTACCGCCTTCATAGAGCCGTGAGACGCCAAGACACAGAGAGACGAAGTAATCAGCACACAGCCACCCAGCTCGCTGAGGCAGAGTTAAGGCCAGGCGGGCTGATCCACAGTGCACGTGGGTGCGGACACGCGTCGTGTGTGTGCATCCATTCATGTCTGTGCACGTGTGCGATTCTTCCCTCTGAGACTCTAGCAGCCCATGCCAGCTGGTGACTCCTTCAGCCAAGGCATCCCCAGCCGACCCCCTGGCATCTGGGTGGGGAAGAGTCGACTGTTTGTGTGTCTGTCCCGCCAGTTCCAGAGCGGCCTGGGAAGTCCCAGCCCTTTCTTCTCAGATGTTCATTCAGGGTCCAGGGTCCCCAGGGCAGACCCTCGTCCCCTCGCTGCTGACTCCCACTGTGTGTGAATGTGGAGGGGAAGGCAGAGGTGGTGCCCGTGAGCCATCCACGCTGGGCCATCACGCTCTCGAGTTATGATCACGGCTGATAGTGATGGGTCCCATGTAGACAATGGGACATTCTTAGAATGAGCGTTCGTTGGAAATCTGCTTGTGTGGGTGGCACAGACTTGAGAGGTCTGGGGAAGAGCAGATTTTCAGACAAGGACTTACGGGAAGGGGGAGGTACAGCCCTTTGGCCCAGGATGGCCACTGATGGAGAGGGCGGGTCAGGGGAGAGGGTGCCAGCGTAGTGACGAGGAAAGGCTGGCCTGCAACCTCCACGGGCTGAGCACCCTGAGGCTTCCCACCTGACTCCTCTGAGCCCGTGGTGCCTCCTCCACCCCCCTGACCTGCCTGCTTCTTTTTTTTTTTAAATTTTTATTTTATTTTTTTTTAAAGATGGGGTTTCACCATATTGGTCAGGCTGGTCTCGAACTCCTGACCTCAGGTGATCCAACCACCGCAGCCTCCCAAAGTGCTGGGATTACAGGCGTGAGGCACCGCGCCCGGCCAGACCTGCCTGCTTTCTACCTAGCTTCTCGCAGTACCCACGTGAGCCCAGCTGAGGCCTCATGCCCTTGAGTGGCCTGAGGGTGGTGGAGGGACTGGCCCGGGAGATCTGGCCACAGCTGCTCAGTTTCCCAGAAGCCACTCTCATGGCGCGCCTCCGCAGCACAGGCTTCCCCCTTTCTGGGAACCTGCCTCCTGCCAGCTTCCTCTCCTGTGTTGTCACTTCCCTTATGATCCCCCCACAATGTCCACTCACTCCCCGCCAGCAGGGACAGGCAGAACTGTGGGTTCCCTAGGCCGGCTGGAGCCACCCCCCCACCCCAACCTGGCCTGGCCTGGCTAGGGGGTGGCCCTGGTGTTCTCCGGAGCCCTGGTGGCCAGCACTGTCAGCAGCCACAGACGCTCAGTGGGAACTTCAGAGCACCTGCCCTTGGCTGGGCTGGCCGTGCAGAAGGAGGCGGCGGCTGCTGCCCTCCATGAGCTCACAGCCTGACGTCAGCAAGCACTTCAAAGAAGTCATTTCCTATGTATGCCTTCACCCAGGCCGCAAGGGAGATAGGATCACCCCTGCTTTACAAATGTGAAGAGTAAAGCTTGCTGAGGGTGACCCGGGGTCACGCAGCTTGTTCCTGGGGCAAAGCCAGGCTGCGGATTCAGCTCTGCAGCCCTGGTCCAGAGGGGTGCTGTGGTCTTTCTCTCCGGCGCTTGCCTTCTCTGACCCTCCTTCCCCTTTCCCCCGTCTGTAGTAAGGGCACAGGGGGCTGCATTCATCCACCCACGCGCCCTGCCTTCTTCCCTTCCTTCTTCCTTCTCGTTCTCCTCCACCCCCCACCCTCCCCTCCATCCACCCATCCATGCATTTATCCCTGCAGGAATTACTTCCTGGCAGGGTCCCTGCCAGCCTCCTGGATGAGGCCAGAGGAGATAGTTCCCATCTCCAGAGAGGTGAGGAAGCAAGGCAGGCCACGCGGTGTGAAAATGTCCCTTCGGACGCTCGCTGCTTTGCAGCTGACGTGAACTGGCAGGCCGCGCGGCTGTCAAGCTTCTGCTGCTGCTTGCAGAGGGCTGCAGGGGAGCCCTTGATGGACGGGGGGCACTGGAGAGCCAGAGAATGGAACCCTCCCCCAAGAAACTCCGTAGAAGAAACCGAGAACTCATATGGGCCAAGGGGCCAGGCCAGGGCTAAAGTCTGTGACGGGGACAGGGCCACCAAGGCCCTGCCTAGTTAGTTCCAGTGGTGTTTTAGGGGCCGCCCCGTCCCCTTCCCTCCCCCCCTCCTTCTGTTCTCCTCCTCCTCCTCTTCCTTTTCCTTCTCCTCCTCTTTCTCTTTCTTCTTTTCTTCTTTTTCTCCTCTTTCTTCTTCTTGAGGAGCAAGAATCTGGATTACTACGTGAAATTTGCTGGCAACTCAATGAAGCAATTTCTACACGCCGCGTAAACAGATTATCTTTGCACTGAGTGACTCGGCTTGGGCCACTAGATTTCAGCTCCCACCTTGAAGTCCTCTCTGGCCCCGGAGTTCCACCCCCTCCACCCCTGCTCCAGGCCTCCAGAGTGAGAACCAAATGCCGCCCAGGCAGACAGGTGCCCGGGCTGTGCGGTGAAGCCTTGGGGAAAGGCTGCTGCCAGCTACAGGCTGCTTCTAGGATGCCCCCTGGAGGTTAATAGGGAGAACTTCCTGTGGCAGGGACAGGTGCCTTTGTCTTGCAGCCCCTGCCCAAGGCTTGGTGACACTGGAACTCTCCACACAGTTGCTTTAGGGTGAAATGTCCCACTCCCCTCCAGCCCCGGCTTGGGCTCCTGCTCTGTCTCTCCACAATCTCCCTGTGACTGTGGGAGGGGCACCCCAAGGTGCGTGGGATGCACTTGAGTCCTCATTCGCGGGATCAGTACTTCCCAACGCCTGGCTCCCCTGTGTACTTCCTGAGGCCCTTCTGTGAGGAAAACAATCCATGATAACTTTATAAATAAACAGGCATCAAAACCTGTGTTACCTTCGTTTTACCAGGTCAAGAGGGCTAGACTTGCTCAGGGGCGCCCCCTGGCGGTGCCTCGTCCCCCACAGGCCCCACTGAGCTGGGGGAACCATGGTGGGGTTCCAACCTGTTCTGTCTCAGGAGTTCCTCTCTGCAGAATGAGCACTCTGAGTTCTTCTTTCTATAGATCTATACTTACAACATTAGAAATTCAACAGAATTGTAAAATGTTTATCAATTCCTTTAATGTAATTGGAAGCCCGTGACACATTTGAATATAAATACCATTCTATGAAAACTAGTTGCATTCTCCAGCACTAAAAACATTTAGTGACAAGAGTACTGTCGTTTTACGTTTCTATACCTTTCTTTTTTTTGAGACGGAGTTTCGCTCTTGTTACCCAGGCTGGAGTGCAATGGCGCGATCTCGGCTCACCGCAACCTCCGCCTCCTGGGTTCAGGCAATTCTCCTGCCTCAGCCTCCTGAGTAGCTGGGATTACAGGCACGCGCCACCATGCCCAGCTAATTTTTTGTATTTTTTAGTAGAGACGGGGTTTCACCATGTTGACCAGGATGGTCTCGATCTCTCGACCTCGTGATCCACCCGCCTCGGCCTCCCAAAGTGCTGGGATTACAGGCTTGAGCCACCGCGCCCGGCCTTCTATACCTTTCTTTAACAACTGGATTCACAGACCACATGCTGGACCTTCCCACCTCCCTCCAAGTTCAATCAGTCCTGACGTCACACGTCGCGTGGTCTCTGGACAGTTGTTTCTGCCACCTTATGAGAGAATGAGGGCAAAAAAGGCAATGACATCTGAGTGTTACTATTAAAATGAATTGTGAGCCAGGCTCACACTTGTCATCCCAGCACTTTGGGAAGCTGAGGTGGGCGGATTATCCGAGGTCAAGAATTGAAGACCAACCTGACCAACATGGAGAAACCCTGTCTCTACTAAAAATTAGCTGGGCCTGGTGGCATATGCCTGCAGTCCCAGCTACTCAGGAGGCTGAGGCAGGAGAATCACTAGAACCTGGGAGGTGGAGGTCGCGGTGAGCCGAGATGGCGTTATTGCACTCCAGTCTGGTTAACAAAGAGTGAAACTTCATCTCTAAAAAAAAAAAAAAAAAAAAAAAAGACTTTTGGAGCCCCGGGGGTCCCCTGACTGCGCTTTGAGAACTGCGGGTTGGTGTAAGGGTAAGATCACGGTCACTGTAGCTGGATAGACCTTTGGGGGTGCCAGAGCCTAGGGCAGGTCTGTGGAGGACATGGAGGCGGCAGGGCACTCAGACCTCGGAGCTCGTTGGGCAGTGGGAATTGGGTGGCTAACTAACTTAGTGAACGATGAAGTGCTTACCACATTCTAGAAGTTCTGGGGAAGTGCCTGGCCCCTGGGAATCATGGCCAGCTCCGTGGGGTGTTGGATCTGCTGTGGGCTGTTGGCCTTCGGGGGCATTCCCGCTGCTCTCTGGATTTCCTTTCGCTTTCTCTGCCTGGGGCATTTTCAGCTTCTGGAGACTTTACCTTCGCCCTGCGTGTGATTCCTCCATCTGCAAAGGCTCTCTGATTTGCTCTGTGGGAGCACTTCCTTCCCTGTGGGGGGCATTTCTAGGAGCTGATGGAGCTGTCCCCATCTGTTCTGCAAGGGTGTCCCACCTGGGATGGAGGGAGGGTCCCACTGTTCTGGGGGTGTGGTTGCGCCCACTCTGTGAAGGGGCGCCGGTGCCCACTTGCTCTGTGAGGCAGAGTGGGCTGGATTTTCTGCTGGAGGAGCCCCTGGGCCCATGACTGGGAGATGGGAGGGGCTCCTACTTGTTCTCTTATAGGAGAGAAAGACTCAGACTCTCTGGAACTTCCCCTGCCTGCTCTGTTTGAGTAGGGGAATGTTCTTGGTGGCATTGTGGCAGGGATGCAGCGGTGGTGGGTGCTGGCTGGCAGGGATGTGAGGGTGCTCCCGCAGCTGGGGGTGGCCCCACCCCATGTGGCCATGCTCAGAGAACGTGCTGCTCATCAGGACTAAGCTACCGGTAATGGGAAAAGGACTGATCCTTCCCTCAAGCCCACAGTGTCACCGGGGGGCAGGAGGGTCGGTGTCTCAAGGGGCGCACTGCTGCCCCTCACCCCACACCAAGCACAAGGCAGATGGCCTTGTCCACCTGCAGACAGTGGGCCAGTCAAGGGCTTTTGCCTCTACTGACCCATTGAAGCCTTTTGTCAGATTCAAGGTCAACAGAAATAATACCTTTCCTTGTTTTATAACAAGGAATAAACTCAAAGAAAGACCTTGACTTGCTAGAACCTCACAGTTCACAGGTGACCATGACTAGAATTTTTATCTGGCAGGCAGTGGGGAGCCATTGATGGTGTTTGAGCAGGGGAGTGACATAGCCAGACTGCTTTCTAGAAGGTGACTCTGGGGGTAAGCAGTCACCCAAGGGAGACAGCAGGACACAGGCGGCATGGCGGGGGTGCGGCAGGGGGGCGCGGTGGGGGCGCAGCTCCCCCTGCCTCTCTGGCTGCCCTGCCCTCGCTCTGGCTATGCACCGGACCCAGGAGACCCGCCAGTGTGGCCCTGAGTCATCTCTGGTCCCCGCAGGCTGTGTGGCCTGCGTATCCTGCAACCCTACGCCGAGAGGATCCCCGTGGTGGCCACAGCCGGCATCACCATCAACTTCACCTCCCAGGTCTCCCTCACTGGGCCCGGTGTGCAGGTGCACTACGGCCTGTACAACCAGTCGGACCGTGAGTATGGGCAGCCCGGGGAATCCTGCAGCGACTCCCTGCCTTTTGGCCATCCCTGGAACCACCAAGGGGGTTGTGAGCAGCTGTTTATGAGGCTGAACAAAAGGAGTGTGTGTGTGTGTGTGTGTGTGTGTGTGTGTACGTGTACGTGTGCTTGCACAAATTTATGCAGCTTTGTGTGCCCATGTGTGCAAGGCAGCCACATGGGTTTGCAGAAACACACACTCACACATATCCACGTATGTGTCGTGTGCATGTGTCTGGATGTGTATGTCTGCTCAGACTGTGTACACAGGTGCCCGGAACATGTATCTGTGGGTGCCTGTCCATGCACGTGTGAGCGCACAGAAGCGGGCATGTCTGTGTGACTTCAAGGCTATGCATGGCCTAACGGCCCCTCCCTGCCCCCATGGTCCCCTGTGGTTTCGCAGCCTGCCCTGGAGAGTTCCTCTGCTCTGTGAATGGACTCTGTGTCCCTGCCTGTGATGGGGTCAAGGACTGTCCCAACGGCCTGGATGAGAGAAACTGTGGTGAGCAGCCCACGCGCCCATCCCTCCTCTCTCCTCACCTTCTCTGCTCTGAGCTGAGTGGAGACCCCACCCCCGATTGCAACTTCCATTATCAGCACCCAGGAAGTGGGGTGCTCTCACTGTGTGGGGGTGGTGAGATGAGGCAGAACAGGAATGCGGCCTCCCCAAGACCACCCCGTGGGGCAGTGGCAGGGACAAGTGGGGAGCCAGGTCTCCTGACTTCCAGCTCAGGGCCATCACTCCCAGCCCCTGTCCCAGCTAGCCTTCCAAGAAGGAACAGAATGGGTGAGGGAGCTATCCCCCCTCCTCTGCCCTGTCAAAGTTCTAAGTACCATGTGGGAAGAAGGAAGCACGAAGTTCGTGTGAGGCTGGGGGATCATCCTGCCACGGTGCTAGGGAAGGCACCTCATATTCGGAAGTCAAACATCTGGCTTCAAGTTCTGGCTCAGCCCAGTCACCTCGGATGAGTCACTTTGTCTGTTTTCACCAGTGAAATGGGGTATCTCACAGGGTTGCCGTGAAACTTTGGGTGTAAAGTAGCAGAGAGAGAGGCCGGGCGCAGTGGCTCACACCTGTAATCCCAGCAATTTGGGAGGCCGAGTCAAGTGGATCACCTGAGGTCAGCAGTTTGAGCCCAGCCTGGCCAACATGGTGAAACCCGTCTACTAAAAATACAAAAATTAGTCGGACGTGGTAGCACACACCTGTAGTCCCAGCTACTCAGGAGGCTGAGGCAGGAGAAAGGCTTGAACCTGGGAGCTGGAGGTTGCAGTGAGCCAAGACTGCGCCACTGAACTCCAGCCTGGGCGACAAGAGCAAGACTGTCTCAAAAAGAAAAAATAAGCAAAGACAAAAACAAAAATAAAGTAGCCGAGAAAGAGATTTGTGATTAGTAATGTGCGATACAGCACACCTTCCACAGGCATCACTGAGCCCTGCTGGCTCCTCTGGCTTCCTCCCACCTGTCCCCTCTATGTGTCTCCACAGTTTGCAGAGCCACATTCCAGTGCCAAGAGGACAGCACGTGCATCTCACTGCTCAAGGTCTGTGACGGGCAGCCTGACTGTCTCAATGGCAGCGATGAAGAGCAGTGCCAGGAAGGTAGGGTAGGCCTGGCTGGGTGTGTGGAGGGACACCAAAGACAGCCCAGGCCTGCTGCGTGCTTCAGCAAAGGGGTCTGGTTTCTCGTCATCCCAACACCCACCAACCCCTCTGTACCTACACATGTATGTCCATCCATCCATCTTCTGGTCTCCAATCACCCTGTCTGTCCATTGATTCATACAGCTACCCATTTATCCGTGCATCTACTGGCCTGTGCAACCATCAATCTCCCTATCATCAAACTGTCAATCTACCCATTTAATGATTTGCCTATCTGCCTGTATGGCCACTGTTCCATCCACCCACCCATCCATCCTCCCACCCACCCACCCACCCATCCATCCATCCATCCACCTGTCCATCCATCCACCCACCTATCCATCCTCCCATCCACCCGTCCATCCATCCACCCTCCATCCGTCCATCCATCCACCCGTCCATCCATCCATCCATCCTCCCGTCCACCTACCCACTCATCCATCCTCCCGTCCATCCATCCTCCCGTCCACCCGTCCATCCATCCTCCCGTCCATCCATCCTCCCGTCCACCCGTCCATCCATCCTCCCGTCCATCCATCCTCCCATCCTCCCATCCACCCATCCTCCCATCCACCCATCCATCCATCCATCCATCCATCCTCCCATCCTCCCATCCACCCACCCATCCATCCATCCTCCCATCCACCCATCCACCCATCCACCCATCCACCCATCCACCCATCCACCCATCCATCCATCCTCCCATCCACCCATCCATCCATCCATCCTCCCATCCACCCATCTATCCCTCCATCCCTCCATCCTCCCATCCACCTGTCCATCCATCCTCCCATCCCCCCCATCCATCCATCCATCCATCCATCCCTCCATCCCCCCATCCATCTACCCACCGATATCCGTAGCCCCCTGTTTGTCTACTGGTCCTTAGGTCCACTCATTCATCCAACCTTCTAGCTGTTTGTCAGTCTCCCTAATGGACCACCACTCCACCCATTGGCTTTTCTGCCCAATCTTCTGTCTGGGTCTATTTATCCGTCCATCCATCTACCCATCCAACTGACCAACCAACCGACTAACACTTCCAGACTATGCAGCAATAGGCCAGGTGCAGTGAGGAAGCACGAATAAAACGCCAGAGACACAGCCCCTGCCTTCCAAGGCTTATCTGTTAGTAGGAGGATATGATGGGTGACTCTCCTGCAGTGTGGGAAGACTGGGGGGCAGGGAGAGGTCCGACATGAAGAGCTTCCTAGAGAAAGTAGCTGTTTGGTCCTTGATGAGAGCTAAAACTTAAATAAGCAGGTGGAAGGGAAAGAGGCAAAGCCCAGGTGGTGGGGCATAAAGTTCTTTATAATGAAGAGCAGGGAGGAAAAGGTGGGCAACCGGGCAGAGCCTGGGGGACTGCCAGGCTAGGTGGGGACTTGGTCTGAAAGTGGAGGCACAGTTCTGCCTTGAAGTTCCACACCGGAGGCGGGGGCATGACCTTGTGGTCAGGAGCTCCAGTCTGAGAGGGAGACACTGCCTTGTGCTCAGCAGACCAGTCTGAGTGAGACTGGGGGAGATGGACATGGCCTGCTTTTAGGAGACCCTAAAGGAGACTCAGAAAAAGGCTCTCCAGTCCCCTCCTGGCTCCATCGTTCCTGCACCCCACTTTGGAAGGCTCCCTTGGGGCTCAGAGACCCATCTTCTGTGCCCTGTCCTCATGCCCTCTGCCCCAGGGGTGCCCTGTGGGACATTCACCTTCCAGTGTGAGGATCGGAGCTGCGTGAAGAAGCCCAACCCGCAGTGTGATGGACAGCCCGACTGTAGGGACGGCTCAGACGAGCAGCACTGTGGTGAGCCCTACCCGGGTGCCCAGGGCCCTGGAGCTCAGGAGGGAGGGGGCTGCCCAGAGCAGGCAGCTGGAGGGAAATCTCACTGCTGTCCCTGGTCTCTCTCCATCCCATCCTCTGCCCCCTCACCTGGGTCCTGATGGTCTCTCCCCCTCCCTGGTTCTCCTGTTCTCGGTCTCTCCATCTCTTTCCTTTGCCCTTCCTCCCTCTCTGTCTGCTTCTCACTGGCCTCTCCCCTTCCCCTCCTCCTCTGTCCACCCCACCACCTGCCCTCATCCCCAGACTGTGGCCTCCAGGGCCCCTCCAGCCGCATTGTTGGTGGGGCTGTGTCCTCCGAGGGTGAGTGGCCGTGGCAGGCCAGCCTCCAGGTTCGGGGTCGACACATCTGTGGGGGGGCCCTCATCGCTGACCGCTGGGTGATAACAGCTGCCCACTGCTTCCAGGAGGACAGGTGAGGGGAAGGGCATGGGGACCCAGGCTGTAAGACAAGGGCAGGGAAGGCGGGCGGGAGGTGCACTGTGTCTGAGCTGTTTGCAGAGAGAGGGAAGGGCGGTTGAGCCCCCAGACAGGCTACCGCGACGTGGGTTCTAGTCCTGGCGCCACCAGGACCCACTGCGGCCCTGGACATGTTGTTCCACCTCTCTGCCATCTACTTTTGGTATCTTGCTTTAAGTTGGGTCAGTGATTCATTCATCCATTCACCTCATTCACTCACTCAGCAATACTGGCTGTGCTCCTACTCTGTGCCAGGGGCTGTGCTAGACGCTGGGCATGCAGTAAAGGACAAACTGCCCTATCTGGTCATAAGCTATGACACTTCCCCCGGTGTGACACGGGGTGGCAGGTGGGGCTGCGGAGCCCCCAGGGGACGTCTCATCAGGCCCCATGGCCATCTTTCCCATGTGCTTGGTGGGCTGAAACCTCCCCCAATCCACCCCCAGATGGAACTGGGCTCCGGACTCCGCCCCCAGGCCCTGCACAGAGATCCGGCCCCCTTTTGTATCCTCTCTGGGGTGCAGGGCGCTCTGACCACCCAGGTCTCTTTAGCCCCACCCCCAGCTCCCCTAACCCCCAAGAACATTCCAGTAGAAAATGCCATTCCCATTTCTCAGATGAGGCGGCAGAGGCTTCGAGAGGCACACACGCGTCTAGGCAGGGATGGAGCTGGGCCGACTAGGACCAAGGCTGAAGGCTGTTCCACCAGCTAGGCGGCCTCCAGGGAGGGAACGGAGGGCGGGTACGGAGGTCACTGTCCCAGGCGGGGAGCTGGCTATTCTGAGGGTCTCTGGCTGGGAAGAGGCAGCCCCGGAGCAAGGACCCCACCCCATCCCACCTCACCTCCTCCCACCCCACCCCACCTCGCTCCAGCATGGCCTCCCCGGCGCTGTGGACCGTGTTCCTGGGCAAAGTGTGGCAGAACTCGCGCTGGCCGGGCGAGGTGTCCTTCAAGGTGAGCCGCCTGCTCCTGCACCCGTACCACGAAGAAGACAGCCACGACTATGACGTGGCGCTGCTGCAGCTCGACCACCCGGTGGTGCGCTCGGCCGCTGTGCGCCCCGTCTGCCTGCCCGCGCGCTCTCACTTCTTTGAGCCCGGCCTGCACTGCTGGATCACCGGCTGGGGCGCCCTGCGCGAGGGAGGTGAGCAGCAGCGGGGACTGGCGGCGGGAGGCGGAGGGAGACAGTGCGGGTGCGGATGCGCCCCGCAAAACGGAACCTGGAGACGGGCGGGGCGGGGCTGGGCGCCCTGGGGCTCCACCCACGGGCCCTCTAGTCCTTGGATCCAGATTGGGCTGAATTTTTACAGTAGAAAACCACCATTTAATGCGGCCCATAAGCCCCCTGCCCCTACCCTCCCAGCTCTTCCCTTCCTTCTGGAAGAGCGTTTCGTGTGGAGCAAAGGGGCAAGTCTGGGACCACTGGCCACGTGCAAGCTCCACCCGCTCCTCCTGGGACTGCAAGGGCGAAGGCTCTTAATTAGCACTTTCCACATGAGGTTGGATTTTAAGAGAACGTGACTTAATACGATCCACCCAACAGCCCTAGGGGCGGATGCTGTGGGCCCATTTTACGGATGGAGAAACCAAGGCTCAGAGACATATTGCTGTAAGTCACATAGCCAGAGAGGACTGGAGCGGAGATGGGAACCCAGGACTGGGGGCCTCCAGAGCTCCCGCTCTTCCTGCTACTGTTCTCAGAAACGGGGTCTCTCCCCTTTCTACCTTTACTGATCAGAGCTGGCCATCCCTGGAGGCCACCGCACAGTTCTGTGGACACAGGCCCAGCTGGCAAAGCTACAGCCACGCCCTACAGCCTCAGTGCTGGTGGCTTCTGTACAATGACTTACAATCTGGAGGCAGGCAGGGCCACAGAGATATTTTAAGGGGGAAACTGAGGCTCAGAGGAACAGTGACTTGCCCAGGGGGATGGCAGAATCATGGCAAAGCAAAGGTTGGTTCATTCACTATTTGTCTACTCATTCAGTCACTCAGTGACATGTTTCTGAGCACCAACTACGTGCCAGGCATGGTGCTAGGGGAAGGGTACGTAAGGATGACGAGGCCATTCTCGGGGGAGACAGACAGCGGTAGGGCCGACATGGACAGGGAGGTGCAGGGACCGTGGAGACAGAGGAGGCTCCTGCCCAGATTGGGTCAGGGGAAGCTTCCAGGGAGAGTTGTTTAAGCTGAGGCCTGGAGGATCAAGTGGCAGTGTCCAAACGGGAGACATTCAGGTGAAGACACAGGTGTCAGGACAGGAAGACCTGAGAACATCTGCAGCCTGCCAGAGGGGTGGAGGTGGTGGCAGCTGTGCCTGGGCAGCCAGAAGGGCAGTGTCAGGATCTTGGACCAGGGGCTCTCCCTCCCACCTGCACCTTAGAACCTTGTGCGGAGCCTCAAGGAACACCCTGCGTATCAAGTCTCCCCGGGGACTGTGGGGTGCAGCCCTCGTGGAGAATCACTGGGGTGGACTGCAGAGCTGGGGCACTGCAGAGTTCTAAGGCAGCCACGGGGGGTCAAGGTATGGGCTTCAGCAATACGCTCCAGGTTCTGTAACGGGGCACTGGGGAGCCAGCCAGAGCCCAGAGGCGCCTGAGCAGGCAGAGGTGGGGGATAAGAAGCTAGAGGAAGACACTCATCCACATGGGCTTTGGTGGGGGGCTCTGTCACCGTGATCCCACAGAGAAAGAGCTAGAATAAAGTGACAGGGAGGCAGAGGGGCAGGAGCGACCCTAGCAGGGGAAAGGGTGGGCAGAGCAGGAGAGAGGCAGGCTCCTGAGATGCAAAGGGAATAGCCTCAGGGAGAACAGAACAAGGGCTCCAGGCAAATGAGACCTCACCTCTGCCCTGGATCGTGGACAGGCCCCACCAGCAACGCTCTGCAGAAAGCGGATGTGCAGCTGATCCCACAGGACCTGTGCAGCGAGGCCTATCGCTACCAGGTGACGCCACGCATGCTGTGTGCCGGCTACCGCAAGGGCAAGAAGGATGCCTGCCAGGCGAGTCCCCGGTCGTGGGAGGGAGAGGATGCCGCTCGCTTCACCAGGGTCTGGCCCTTTGCTCACATCGGCCTGCTGAAGCTTCCCACCTGCCCAGCAAGGTGGCGAAGGCCGCCCCCACTTTACAGAAGAGGAGACTGAGGCTTGAGGGAGGGGTCAAGGAGCTTGCCCAAGGTTGCAGAGCCACAGACCAGAAGAGGTGTTGTGACGGGCAGGTGTTAGGCCCCGACGAGCTTCCGCTCTTTGCCCATCGCAAGGCAGTAGGCCCACAGTGAGGTAGACACAGGAAGAAGAAAGGGGTGTCAGCCACGGAGGGGAGGCAAAGGCAGAGGGGGGCGTAGGGCCACAGCACACGTCCAGGAGGGCCCAGACTGGCTGGAGACTGCGCAGGGCTGGATTGGGCTCTCTCCGTTTAGCAGAGCTTCAAGGCTGAAAGCGCCTCTCTGGCACCACCCAGCCAGTTCCCAACAGTCGGAACTCAATCCCCACGGCCCCTCACCTAGAAAGGGGGTGCCCTTACCCTGCTTCCGTCCTCTCTCCTTTCCCCCTTGCAGGGCGACTCGGGCGGTCCGCTGGTGTGCAAGGCACCCAGTGGGCGCTGGTTCCTGGCGGGGCTGGTCAGCTGGGGCCTGGGCTGTGGCCGGCCTAACTACTTCGGCGTCTACACCCGCGTCACGGGGGTGATCGGCTGGATTCGGCAAGTGATGACCTGAGGAACCGCCCCCTGCAGAGCGGGGCCCACCTCTTGGACTCACAGAGCCCAGGGCAACTGCCAAGCAGCGGGACACGTATGCTGGAGGCAGGCAGGTGGGCCCTGTAGTCGCAGGTGGCGGCATCTTGTCTTGCCCCTGACGGCTGCTCCGGCGATGGCAGGAGGCGGAGGAGTGCCAGCAGCTGGAGGTCAAGATGTCCCCCGAGGACCCAGGCCCACGCCCAGCCGTCTGCCTCCCGATGCTCTCTCCTCTGTCCCCTTCCTCCACCGCTGCCTATTTCGGGGAGGTAGCTCAGCAGCAAGAATGCTGGTTCCAGGTCCCCGGGAGTGTCTGAGACGCACCCCACCTGGTACAGAGGTTACCTGGGCTGCCTGAGCTCCGGAGAGCAGATTCCAGCTTTGGAAGGCCCTGGCCGAACTTGGGATCTGGGGATGGAAAGTGCCTCCATAGGAGGGGACCCTCAGAGCCCTGGAGACTGCCAGGTGGGCCAGCACCACTGTAAGCCAAAGGCTGGGGAAACCCTGACACCAGGGTCCTTGCCCACCCCTGCCTGTCACCTGGGCCCTCACCAGGAGGTGAGCTCAGCTGCCCTTGGGAATAAAGCTGCGGATCCCAGCCCTACTGCTGGAGTTTGAATGGGGACCTGAGCACCAGCCTCATGCCTTTGATTGAAGCAGCCCTTGCTTCCTGCGCAGCCTGTTTGATAAGTGTCCAGAATGCCAAGGTGGGCTCAGAGGCAGCAGGCGTGGGCACTGAGGGTGCGGCCTCCCGGGCAGCTGCCCAGGTCCCAGGAGAAATGCCTGGAAGGCAATCGTTTGGGGACCCTCGGGTCAGGGTGAGGGATGTGAGGCGCAATGGTCTTTTGGGACCTCAGGGGGAAACTGAGGCTCAGAGAGGCAGTTAACATCCTCATGATGGTACTGGGGTCAGGAGCAGAGGGGGCATGGACACCTGTCTCCCAGTCCCCATCTACTGTGGTCCCCTCCAGCTCAACACTCACTCCCTTTGGATTCTTTGAGTCACCGAGTAGTACCTCGGGCTCCAACCATGTGCCAGCGCTGTGCTGGGACCCCAGGGGTGAAGGACCTGACTCCTGACCCCAGGAGCCATGACGATGACCCAGTGGGAAGGGCCAGCGGGGAGCATGGACCGGGTAAGTCAAGGCAAACTGCTTGGAGGCCGTGAGACTTGAGCTGGGGCTCAGAGGTGGTCAAGGTGGGCACATCCGGAAAGGATATTCCAGGCAGGGGAAGAGCACGTGCAAAGGCACAGAGTCCTGGAAGGACGAGGCACACTGGGACCTGGCAAGCTGAGCGAGCGTGTGTTAGCACAGAGCTAGAGAGGGGAAGGGCTGAAGGAGTCGGAGGGGCAAACTGAGGTGGGATAACAGAACCTGGAGTTGAGCCAAGAATTTGACCCTGAAAGCACTGGGGAGCCATGGCGGGCTCTATAGTAGAGGAGTGACGTGAGTGGACGCGCACATTTTGGAACCACCCACTGGCCTGAGTGTGGAGGGAGTGGCAGGCAGGGAGGCTGGTTAGGAGGCCACTGCAGGACTCCAGGAAGGAGAAGATGGGCCCAGACTAAGCAATGCCACGGGATGGACTGGAGGGTGGTTTTGGACCCCTGGGGGCAGCGGAGATGGAGCCAGGGGCCAGCTGGAGGTGAGGGTGGGCAGTTAAGTGCGGACAACTCTGGAAGCCTAACAGAGCGGGAGAAAGGGGTCCTCAGAGGGGCCCAAGACTGAGAGGGGAGGTTTTCCAACATGGGCACTGCTGCCACGTCTGTGGGTGAATGAGGCAGAAGGGGAGGCAGGGATGGGGAGCACCCACCTGGGTCCCGCCAGGAGGAGCTGGGGCGGGCAGGCGGGTGGGGCGCATCTCGAGTGAGTGGGCACAATACACACACGATCCCTCTGGTGATCCGGAATCACCCTGGGCCTACCCCCAGTCTCCATCGGAATCCTGGAGGGGCGGAGGGTCCTCTGCTCTCCTAACAAGCCTCCTGGTGACTCTTTTGCAAGGAGAGTTGGACCCCAAAAGTGAGGCCAGCTTTGGAGTGGCGTGTCCTCCAGGAAAGTGGCGAGGCCCTCCAGGCTGGAGCTAGCAAGAGGGAGCCCCCACACCTTAGGGGCCCGCTGCCCGCCAGGATTTCCTCAAGCCAGGCCACGGAGAGACTCGGCAGGACGGGGAAGCTGAAGGAGCTGGCCAGGGTAGGTGAAGGGCCTGGGGTGCGGGCTGGGGCCGGCAGACTCAGAGAAGGGAGAGGGTGGGGGGTTTTCAGTTCCTGAGATTTAGAGCAGAGGGGTGGCAGTAATGGGGAGAGGTGGTGGTGGCCCGAATGTCAGAGTAGAAGTGGAGGGGTATCCTGAGAGGGTTAGGGTGTGGCAGAGGCAGCCTGGGGCTCTACCTAGGGTTCTGTTTCCTGGGTGCTCTCGTATCCAGCCCCAGGGCAAAGGATACAGCCAGCTCCCCAAGCCCTCCCCACAACACACGGGAAACGGGCAAGAGGGCAGTGTCCCTGGGCTTTCGGGAGAATGCTGAGCTCCTTTGGGCCAGTCTACCACACCTTGAGTGTAGCCCCGTCCCCAAAAGTGACCCAGAGAAAGAGAGGGCGACAGCCAGGCTGGGCTGTTCCTTCGGGCTTTATTACATGGTGGGGTCCAACACAGCTGAGAAGCAAGGGCCCATCCCGGGAAGGCAAACTCAGGAGGGGCCCCTGGCTCAGCCGTCACGCCCACTCTCCCCTGCGCACTTCCTGAGTCCTCCACTGCCCCTGCCCAGCCCCTTCCGCTGCCTCTCCCCGCCCTCCAGGCCAGGTGCTGGGCTGGCAATGCAAGTGGCTGGGGGCGGGATCACCGCGGTGAAGACTGAGCCAGCTGCCCCTACTCTGACAGGCCAGCTCCCCACACCCCGTATCCCCAGTACCTGAATCTCCATTTGCAAACAGCGTTCTGCCAGGGGGTGGGGCTGGGTCCTTTCCCTCCCGGGGCAGCTGAAGGGGGGGCTGCCCCTATATACTACCTGAGGGCCTTCGGGGACCTGGCTCCTCCGTGCACCCTCACAACAACCCTGTGAGGTAGGTGGGGTGGGAGGAGTTACCCCTGGACTAAGGCTCAAGGAGGCGCTGTGACCGGGCCAGGAGGGCGCACGTCTGCCATGCAGCAGGGGGACCTGGGCGAGGGGGTGTGGGGGCTGCAGAGGCATGGCCAGGCAGTGCCACATGTCCGCCACGGGCAGTCGGCTCCGCCCAGGGGGCCTGGGGCCCACCTCAGGCCTTGAGAGGTCCCAGGGGGCCCCCGCCCTGCCCCTGGAGGCAGGGGTAAGTCACAGCCCCATGGATGCAGACAGAGGAGGCCAGGGAGAGGGCACTTCTTCCTTCTCAGGCCCGGGGCCCACCCCATGGTACAAAAATAAAGGATTTCAGATGGGAACCCCAAGTCCCTGGAGGTGATCTGGGGCCTCACATCCAGGTGCCTCTGGCTTGTAACAGCTAGAAAAAAAAGAGGGGAAGGGCAAGAGGAGGGGGGGCGGAGGTGGGGGCCGGTAAGGAGGGGGTGATGTGGGGGCCGGGGGCAGAGAGGAGATTGAAGGGCAGGGAGAGGGAGAGAGAGAGAGGCAGCTGAGTCAGTCACAGGCTTCCTTCTGGAGGAGGGGGTGGGGCTGAGGCCCAGAGAAGGTGGATTCAGAACTGAGCCGGAGATGGGGGGGGAGCAGGAAAGGTGCCCCAACTAACCCATCCAGGAACCCCATGCCCCATCTTGGGCTGGTGATGGCACCTACAGAGGCCAGATTCTGCCAAGACTCTGAAGGGGCTGGGGTGGTGGGTGGCCAGGGCTAGGAGAGGCACTGATACTCCAGGCGAAAGGAGCCACAGAGAGCAGCTCTCTGTCCCCATTTTAGAGGCAGTTGTGGCCCAGAGAGGGACAGTGACTTGCCCAAGGTCACACAGCAGGCAGAGAAGATTGGGGTAGGGTGCCTGTGGGCATGCGGCCAGGGCTTTTTCTGCCACTCTGCAAATCCTTAGGGCAGCTCTGGCTGACACTTCATGGGCCAAGGGCATTCCAAAGTGGCCTGTTCTCCCCATCCCCACAGAAATAGGGATACCACAAGGCAGTGACACAGGAGCTCCTGGATGTGCAGGACTTGGCCAGGGCCTTGGGCTTCGGCAGTCCCTCCCTCCTCCCCAGTCTGGCTCAGGTGCTGACGGGCTGGTGGGAAAGCTCCCACTCCCTAACTTTCTTCTCCTCTCGGAGCCTCACCCCCAAGGCCAAGGTCAGATGAGAAACTTTGGTGGGTGGAGCTAATCAGCCGAGAAAGCTCGGCTCAAGTCCAGGGATCAAGAGGTGAGCACCCTCCTCACTCCGCCCCTCCCGCCAGCACCGCCAAGCTACAAACCAGGGATGGCAGCTCTGGGGGCGGGCGAGGGGCCGAGGAGAAGCCCTCACGGCAAGCTCAGCCTCAGGTCTGAGAGGGTGCGGGCGGAAACCTGCAAGGAGGAGACGTGAGGAGGCGGCGGGAGGAGGAGAGGCGGGGCAGGGCCCGAGGCCGAGCCTCAGAGGTGCCCGGCAGGGTTGGTGGGCACAGAGGAGGTACAGCTGCGCCCCTCCTCCCCAGGCTGGGAGGCAGGAGGTACCAGAAGGGGCGCAGGAGGCGGCAGGCAGGATGGTCTGGGATGCAGGGCCAGGGGGCCTGCGTGGAGGGCACGGGAGGCTGGGACCAGGGCAGCCCCGGGATGGAGGCGTGAGCAGGCAGAGAGAAAACCCGGACAGGGGCAGAGAGGGAAGAGGCAGGGTGCAGATGAGATCCAGGAGGAAGAAGAGGTGGATGAAGATGAGGCAGGACCTCCAGCGGGAAGCGGAGGAGGAGGCAGTGGTGGGAGGGAGAAAAGGTTAGCGGGATCCTGAGATGACTGGGCTGCAAAGAGAAAGTGAGAGAAGGGATGGTTATGCGGGTGAGGCGCCAGGCAAGTGGCTGAGCTAACCCTGGTGCCCCCCAGCAGCCCCCAGGCCCCCGGTTCTGCAGCTGGCTCCAGCAGGGGGTGGGCGGGAGGCTCCGGCTTTGCTTAGCAATCATCCTCCTGGGGCGTGGCTGCACCTTTCTCCTGTGCATCTGCCTCCACCTCCACCTCCACCTCCTCCTCCTCCTGCTGCTGCTGCTCCTCCAGCGGCTCCTCCGTGCTCTGTGAACCAGCCAGCGGACCCAGGGAAGAAAGAGTGGAGACGCTAACAGGGCGGCCAGGGCCTGCTGGCAATCCCCAAAGACCCGGTCTCAGGCAAGGCTGGAGGGACCTCGGGAGAGGGGAGGGCTCCAGCCACAGAAGCTGGGGGCACCTTCTCCAGTTCCCGGGGTAGCTGGGGAGGCCTAGGGAAAGCAGCTGAGGATGGGGCACTGTGGGCATGCCCAGGGGTCAGTCTGGCTGCCGTTCCATAGAGCGAGGCTGGAGCTGGGGTCGAAGCGGAACAGGGAGGGTGTGGGACTGGGGTATCCCTGAGAAGTGCCTGGGAAGGCCTTGTTGGGAAAGACTGATCCTGAGTAGAAATCTGGCCAAGCCCCAGGGCAGATGCCACCCAGATCTGGGATGCCAGCCAGTCTCTGACAACCCAGGTCCAGGGGCTTTGGCCCAGAGAGGCAAAACAAGCAAGCTTGCCCTGTACCCTTGCAGGGCAGCGCCAGCTCTGGCGGTGGTGGGGGTAGGTGGGCGGGCAGGGAGCATCACAGCAGGACAGGGAGGGCAGCAGACAGACAGGAAGCCGGAGGTAAGCCTCCAGGGCGCAGGGGCGGGCCCCAGGAGGAGCAGCCTCCCTTCTTCCCAGCCTGGTTCACACCTGCTCTGTGGCTCTGCCAAAGGCCCTTGGGACTTCCCACAGCACGGGGTCCAGGGTGGCAGGATGCCCGCTCAGTCCCCTCCCCACAGGGGGCAAGTGCTGCCAGGGTGCTCTCGGGAGGCTGACTTAACAGGCCAGGCAGGCACACAGGGCAGGCTGCCACCAGGCTGCCCCCATCCTGCGGAGCGGCCAAGGAGGGAGCCTGGGAAAGGGGCAGGATTTACAGCGGTGGCTTCCCCATCCTGGCTCAGGCCCGGTGCAGACATGCACCCGTCCCTGGGGAATAAAGGGCATCTGGGATCCCAGAAGTTCCAGGCTCCAAGGATACCACAGAGAGCATGTGGTCCTTCCCTCTCACTTCACAGGGAATGCGGCAGAGGTGCGAGAGAGGACAAGCTTTGTCCTAGGTCACACAGAGAGTACCACCCTGTGCCCTGAGTCCCTAGCCCATGCCACAGTGCCCGGCAGCCACTACGCGGCCCCCTTCACGCGGCCTCTGAGTCCACGCCGGCCACACCCTCCGGATGCTCTCATCTCACTGCTCCCAGCCTGGGCCTGGGTAACGGCAGGTGGCATGGGATGGATGGCGGTGGCTGTGACCATGGGGAGAGAGGAGGAGGGACGGTGCGGGCGCAGGGGCAGGAGGGGCGGGGAGGTGGAGGGAGACAGGAGCCTTCTGCAGACACGGCCTGAGGCGGGTGGGCTTACCTTGGTCTTGCGGCTGGACTCGGAACTCAGCCCGTTCGGGGAGCTGTGGAGCTCCTTGGACACCACACACAGGAACTCGGCCTGATCCTCGCTGCCGTAGCTGTAGGAGGAGCCGATGTTCACCAGCTAGAGGGGTAGAGCATGGGGCAAGACGCAGGTTGGTGTTGGGGACCATGGGGCAAGGTGGGGCAGGCCTCGGCCCCCATCAGGGTACCGGCTCCTGTCCTGATCCTACGGCTTGTTGGGCCCCTCCTGGGTTTGCAGAGGGCGCCTCTGGGCAGGAAGGTGGAGTCCTTCCCCTCGAGACCTGTGCCCCGGGACCAGCCACTCCACCTGGCTTGGCTGGCTCGGCGATCCCTGATGGAGAGTGGCAGCATTACTGCCATCCCCACCACAACCCCCAGCCTAGCCCCAGAGCCAGGGGGCCCTTTTCGCAATGCAGACAGAGGCCTCTAAAGGATGGCTGTCCCCTGTTCCAGACGTGGCTGACACAGCCCCAGGAAAAGGTTGCAGGGTGGACTGGCAAGGTGGAGCCCCACAGACTATTCCCTTCACTCCTGGAAGCAGAGTGGGGACAGGTGGGCCACTCCTGAGACCAAAGGGCAAAGGACCAGTGGCCCCGGCCTGCTCACTCAGCCTCTGATAGCCTGTGCAATTGACAAAGGTGCTCAAAGTTGCCCTGCCTCTGTTCCAGGGTCCCTAGAATAACCACGCCCACAGAGCCCTTCTGGCTAACAAAGTTCTTGCAGGTGATGGGTCTCATTTAGCTCTCAGGGACCCTTCTTCAGCAGGCAGAGGAAAATATCACCCCCTCGGGCAGAAGAGGCTTGGAGAGGTGGTGGCCTGCTGAAGGCCTCACAGCTAGGGAGAGGTGGACCAGGGAAGTGGCATCGGGGATCCCACATCCTCTCTGAGTGCTGCAGACTTCAATCCGGACTTCTGGTGATCTGCATGACGCGAGTGCCCACACACACAGCCCCACCGAGGGCCAGGAACTCTACTGACGGCCCTTCTAATCTTCACAACCATCCTACAGAGGAGGTGCCGGTTAGCCCACTTCACAGATGAGGAAACTGAGGCCCGCAGAGGAGATGCAACTTGCCCAAGGTGGCAGGCATGTCAGTGGCGAGGCCTAGAGGTGATCCAGGCCTCTGGCTCTGCACTGGGCCCATTCCTCCATCTCCCCGGCCATCCTGGGGGCCCTGACCTCCTGCCTTGTGCTAGGGAGCATGTGGGCGGGAGTCAGGGAAAGCTAGCCAAGCCTGTCTCCTTCTCTAAAGGCACATTTGACCTCGGGCTAACTTTCTGGCTCTGCTCATCTGGAGACCTCAGAGGCAGGAGGTCCGCTGCATAACCAGAAATAAAGTCCCTTGAGATAAAGACCTCCTGACGGGTAAACCACATCTGGACTGGGAGGAACCATTGTTCACCATAAAAACCTCATGGGAAGCCACTGCTTCGGGCTCCCCAGCCTCTTGCTACGCTGGTGACTGGGCATGTCCCCTGCGGAGACCCTGAAAACTATATCGGGAGCTGCTGCCCTGGCCTGGTGTTGGCTCCGCTCACCTGAGTGGGTCTCTTCTCCTTGCCCCTGGGCTGTCTCTCGGGGGCCAGAGACTTGCTCGTGCCACCAGATAGATCAGCAGCTGCTTGCTGTGAGGACTCCCACCAACAAGACTGCCCTGTGCTGCCCTGTGGCCACTCGGGCTCCTCCTCTCTCCCGGTCAACCTGCCACCAAGCGTGGTCTCTATAACCCTGTTTAGTTTGACTTAAGAAGACCTCCGGTGGCGGGGGGGTACTGTGAAGGGGAACCCAAGGGAGGGGCCGGGGTGGGCCTGGTAGTACGCCCGTGTCCCACCGCCTACCTGCTCAAAACGCCAGCCGTCAGACATGGTGGAGACCATCTGCGTGAGCTCCTCCTCCTGGCACTGCAGCACGCGATACACGTGCTTGGGTGGGACCTGTGGGCACAAGGGTCACATAGAGGGCACCTGTGGGAACACCAGTTATTGCTGCCACCCCCACAACATACCCAGAGAAGAAGAGAGAGAAAGAAGAGGTGAGCTGGGGGAGGCAGCCATGCTCTGGCTCTGAGCGCCTGCTCCTCACCAGGCACCATCTCACTTAATCCTTCCAAGAAGCCTAGGCATTAGAGGACTTCCCACTGAGGCCCAGAGAGGTCAGTTACTTGCCCAAGGTCACCTAGCCCAAGGGTGGAGGAGACAGAACCGGAACACAGGGAATTCAAGAAAGAACGAGGGTGGGGCTTGGGGAACATTCTGGGTCACCAATGGAGTCAGGCCCTCAAGGAGACCCAGAGCCTCCCCTGTTCAGGCCGCTGGGGGTTGGAGACGGTTCCTCACCACCTGTCCCTAGCCCTCACACCACCCCAGCGTAGGCGGAAATTCTCCCTCCCTCCTCCTGCAGACTAACCAGGGAGGCCTGGGCTCCAAGCTCACCCATGCCAGCCCCAACAGCCTGCACTGTGCCCACCAGGTGACCATCTGATCCCACGAAATGCACAATTGGCTAACCCTGCATTGCCCTCTGCAGGGCACCCTGCACCTCCACACTGACCCCCTCCTGCCAGTAAGGAAGGAATGGGTGTGCAGCTTCCCACCCCTCTCTATCCCATAAGAGGAAATCAAGGTCCAGAGAGGGCAAGCCCGGCCCAAGGTCACACAGCAAATGAGGCTGAGCAGGGACGAACCCCAGCGCCCGTCGCCCAGTCTGCGGCTATGCTGGGGCAGCCTGGGAGTCCAACAGTCACTCCGCTCCTTACAAGCCAGCTCGGCCTCCCCATGATAAACACAGGTCCTGTCTCTTCCAACCTCCTCCGCCTCCCACTCCCCAGCGGCCCCCCCGGCCATGGATGCCACCCCTGATCCCCACCTGGGTGACTGTGTAGTCCTTCTCTTCCATCCGGTCTTTGATGATGCGGATCAGCGGGCCGATGTTGTAGAACTCGGCTTCCTCCAAGACGCCTGGCAGAACAGATCCCAGTCACTCCTTCCGCCTCCATGCCCCATTCTCCTCTTGTTCCCACCACCCCCAAACCCACCTCCTGCTCCGATCACCCACCCTGAGGATGAGCTGAGCATCTGTGAGTTCAGGGGTCAAGCAAGAGGGAGCATTTCCTTCCGTGGATCCCACACTTCCTGTGGCAGGGGCTGAGACACTGCCACACAGCTCTGCTCTGCTGAGCTGTATGACCAGGGGCACCCGCCAGGCCACAGTCGGGGGCTACTTTAGAGCTACCAAGAGACAGCAGGCTCATTGGGGCTGATCCCCAGAATGTCACCATGAGCAGGGCCTTGCCTGACCCCCGGTCATGTGCTTCTATTTATGAAGCACATTCTAAGTGCCAGGTGCATTGCAGTTTTGAATTCTCAGAACTGCAAGGAGGTGCTTTCGTCATCCATATTGAACAACTGGGAAAACTGAGGCTCCCAAAGAGAAGCGGCTTGTCCAAGGTCACACAGCCGGTACGTGGCAGCGGAAACTCAAGTACCACAGACTCCAGAGCTCATGTCTTCCCCCACAGAGCCCGTGCCATCCCCTGGCCCCCAATTCTGATGCCATCCCCTGACCCCCACATACCCCGTGCCATCCCCTAGCCCTCAATATCCCTGTGCCATCCCCTACCCTCACATAGCCCTGTTCAATCCCCTGGCTCCGGATATCCCTGTGCTATCCCCTGGCCCCCACATAGACCCATTCCCATTCCCCTGGCCCCCACATAGCCCTGTGCTATCCCCTGGCCCCCACATAGACCCATCCCATTCCCTGGCTCCCACATAGCCCCGTGTCATCCCCTGGCCCCCGATATCCCTGTGCCATCCCCCAGCCCCCCACATACCCCTGTGCCATTCCCTAGCCTCCGATAGCCCCGTGCCATCTCCTGGCCCCCACATAGCCCCATCCCATCCCCTGGCCCCCACACAGCCCCATCCCCCACATAGCCCCATCCCATCCCATGGCCCCAACATAGCCCCATGCCATCCCCTGGCCCCTAATATCCCTGTGCCATTCTCTGGCCCCCACACAGCCTTCTGCTATCCCCTAGCCCATGATAGCCCTGTGCCATCCCCTAGCCCCCACAAAGCCTTGTGCCATCCACTAGTCCCCACAAAGCCTTGTGCCATCCCCTAGCCCACGATATCCCAGTGCCATCCCCTAGTCCCCACATAGCCCTGTGCTAACCCCTAGCCCCCACCTAAACCTGTGCCATCCCCAAGCTCCAAAATTCCTGTGCCATCCTCTAACTTCCACATAGCCCGTGCCATCCACTAGCCCCCGATATCCCAGTGCCATACCTTAGCCCCCACAGAGCTCCGTGCCATCCCCTAGCCCCCGATATCACTGTGTGATCCCCTAGCCCCCACATAGCCCTGTGCCATCCCCTAGCCCCTGATGTCCCTGTGCCATCCCCTAGCCCCCACACAGCCCCGTGCAATCACCCAGCCCACACACAGCCCCGTGCCATCACCCAGCCCCACATAGCCCATGCCATCCCCTAGTGCCCACATACCCTGTGCCATCCCCTAGCACCCGATATCCCTGTGCCATCCCCTAGCCCCCACATAACCCCGTGCCATCCCCCAGCTCCCACATAGCCCCGTTCCATCCCATAGTCCCAGATATCCCTGTGCCATCCCCTAGCCCCCACATAGCCCTGTGCATCCCCTGGCCCCTGATATTCCTGTACCATACTCTAGCCCCCACATGGCCCCTGTGGAATACCTAGCCCCTGATAGCCCTGTGCCATCCCCTAGCCCCCAATATCTCTGTGCCATCCCCTAGCCTCTAATATCCCTCTGCCAACCCCTAGCCCCCACATAGCCCTGTGCCATCCCCTAGTCCCCAATTCCCATGCCATCCCCTGACCCCCACATAGCCCCATGCCATCCCTTAACCCCCCAATATCCCCATGCTATCCCTAGCCCCCACATAGCCCAGTGCCATCCCCTAGCCCCCGATATCCCAGTGCAATCCTCAAGCCCCCACATAGCCCTGGTGCCATCCCCTGGCCAACACATAGCCCCGTCCCATCCCCTGGCTCCCACATAGCCCCATGTCATCACCTGGCCCCGATATCCCTGTGCCATCTCCCAGCTCCAAAATTCCTTTGCCATCCTCTAACTCCCACATAGCCCCATGCCATCCCCCAGCCCCCATATAGCCCAGTGTCATCCCCTGGCCCCCAATACTCCCTGTGCCATCCCCTAGTCCCCACATAGCTCCGTGCCATCCCCGAGCCCCCACAAAGCCCCATGCAAACCTCTAGCCCCCGATATCCCATGCCATCCCCCAGTCCCCACATAGCCGCATGCCATCCCCTGGCCCCCAATATCCCCATGCCATCCCCTAGCCCCCGATATCACTGTGCCATCACCTAGTCCCCACATAGCCCTGTGCCATCCCCTAGCCCCCGGCAGCGCAATGCCATCACCCGTCTCCCACATAGCCCCATGCCATCCCCCGGCCCCCAATATCCCTGTGCCATCCTCTAGTCCCCACATAGCCCCATGCCATCCCCTAGTCCCTGATATCACTGTGCCATCCCCTAGCCCCCAGAGAGCCCTGTGCCATCCCCTAGCTGCCAAATAGCCTGTGCCATCCCCTAGCCCCCACATAGCTCGGTGCCATCCCCTAGCCCCCAATATTCCTGTGCCATCCCCTGGCCCCCGATATCCCTGTGCCATCTCCTGGCCCCCACATAGCCCCATGCCATTCCCTGGCCCCAACAGGGCCCCTGTCCCATCCCCTGGCCTCCACATAGCCCCATCCCCCACATAGCCCTGTCCCATCCCCTGGCCCCAACATAGCCCCATGCCATCCCCTGGTCCCCAATATCCCTGTGCCATTTTCTGGCCCCCACACAGCCTTGTGCCATCACCTAGCCCCCACAAAGCCTTGTGCTATCCCCTAGCCCAAGATATCCCGGTGCCATCCACTAGTCCCCACACAGCCCTGTGCCAACATCTAGCCCCCACCTAACCTGTGCCATCCCCTAACTTCCACAAAGCCCGTGCCATCCACTAGCCCTCACATAGCCCCGTGCCATCCCCTAGTCCCCCGATATCGCTGTGTGATCCCCTAGCCCCCACATAACCCCATGCCATCCCCCAGCTCCCACATAGCCCTGTTCCATCCCATAGCCCCCGATATCCCTGTGCCATCCCCTAGCCCCGACATAGCCCCATTCCATCCCCTAGCCTCCGATATCCCCCCGATATCCCCCAGCTCCCACATAGCCCTGTGCCATCCCCTGGCCCCTGATATCCCTGTACCATACCCTGGCCCCTACATGGCCCTGTGGAATACCCTGGCCCCTGATAGCCCTGTACCATACCCTAGCCCCCACATGGCCCTGTGGAATACCCTAGCCATCACCTAGCTCCCACTTAGCCCTGTGCCATCCCCTAGCCCCCACATAGCCCTGTGCCATGACCAAGCCTCTAATATCCCTCTGCCAACACCTAGCCCCCACATAGCCCTGTGCCATCCCCTGGCCCCCAATTCCCATGCCATCCCTAACCCCAACATAGCCCCATGCCATCCCGTGGACCCCACATAGCCCTGTGCCATCCACTAGCCACCGATATCCCAGTGCCATCCCCTAACCCCCACATAGTCCCGTGCCATCCCCTAGCCCTCGATATCCTAGTGCCATCCCCTAGCTCCCGATATCACTGTGTGATCCCCTAGCCCCCACATAGCCCTGTGCCATCCCTTAGCCCCCATATCCCTGTGCCATCCCCTAGCCCCTGATGTCCCTGTGCCATCCCCTAGCCCCCACACAGCCCCGTGCCATCACCCAGCCCCCACACAGCCCCGTGCCATCACCCAGCCCCCACACAGCCCCGTGCCATCCCCTAGCGCCCACATACCCCGTGCCATCCCCTAGCGCCCACATACCCCGTGCCATCCCCTAGCGCCCACATACCCCATGCCATCCCTTGGTCCCCGATATCCCCATGCCATCACTTACCCCACGACATCCCCATGCCATCCCCTAGCACCTGATATCCCTGTGCCATTCCCCTAGCCCCCACATAACCCCGTGCCATCCCCCAGCTCCCACATAGCCCCGTTCCATCCTATAGCCCTCGATATCCCTGTGCCATCCCCTAGCTCCTACATAGCCCTGTGCCATCCCCTGGCCCCTGATATTTCTGTACCATACCCTAGCCCCCACATGGCCCTGTGGAATACCCTAGCCCCTGATAGCCCTGTGCCATCCCTTAGCTCTCACATACCCTGTGCCATCCCCTAGCTCCCACATAGCCCTGTGCCATCACCTAGCTCCCACATAGCCCTGTGCCATCCCCTAGTCCCCAATTCCCATGCCATCCCCTGACCCCCACATAGCCCCATGCCATCCCCTAGCCCCCACATAGCCCCATGCCATCCCTTAACCCCCAATATCCCCATGCTATCCCCTAGCCCCCACAGAGCCCTGTGCCATCCCCTAGCCACCACATAGCCTGTGCCATCTCCTAGCCCCCACATAGCCTGTGCCATCCCCTAGCCCCCACATAGCCTGTGCCATCCTGTAGCCCCTGATATCCCTGTGCCATCCCTCAGCTCCCAAATAGCCCTGTGCCATCCCCTGGCCCCTGATATCCCTGCACCACCCCCTAGCCCCCACATGGCACTGTGGAATACCCCAGCCCCTGACAGCCCTGTGCAATCCCCTAGCTCCCACATAGACCTGTGCCATCCCCTAGCCCCCAATATCCCTGTGCCATGCCCTAGCCCCCACATAGCCCTGTGCCATCACCTAGCCTCTAATATCCCTCTGCCAACCCCTAGCCCCCACATAGCCCTGTGCCATCCCCTAGCTGCTGACATCCCTGTGCCATCCCCCAGCTCCCACATAGCCCTGTGCCATCCCCTGGCCACTGATATCCCTGTACCATACCCTAGCCTCCACATAGCACTGTGGAATACCCCAGCCCCTGATAGCCCTGTGCCATCC